ATTCTTGGAAGAGAACAGCTGTTGAATGACAAAGGGAAAGGTGTATTTCATTAGCTATCTCCGGAGCTGGATTTCACAAGTATTGACTTACGTGGGTTCTAAATGGGAAAAAGAAAGCCATAGCAGGGAATCATCCAAATACAGATGGAAAACTTCAAGTTATGTAACTATTATTGTTCTGGTTTAAAGAAAAATCAGGTTGGATCAATGTTTTCCAGCTACTCCCATGGTTAAAATATGTTTCAACTTCACCTATTTTTTTTTATTGTGCTACAGGGAAGTATATGCACTCAAACATTCTTGTCTATACAATTCTTTCTGTTCCCTATCCTTTAAGGAGGAGAGAAAGTTAATTTTATGGTATAATAAGAAGGATTTTTGAATCCTCCATTATAAAAGGAGGAAAAATAAATCTTCCTAGTTTAAGGAATAAATAAAATAAAATAAAAATCTCTCATTTTATACAAAGGAGGAAATATCCTTTGAACAAAAGGAAGAGCTACTTGGCCAATCAGACTCAAGAATCAAAGACTGTTCATCCGGAGGCATGTCATGCATCCAACCTTCACCACCGATGCTTGGGTGATTCATGATGTGACGCACACTCTCACCACACCAGGAGCGGTGGTGTGGGGATTCATGGGTAAAGGCCAAATTAGTAGCTTTTTACTTTCATTTGAGGTTGAACTTATACACACCTGATAACATCCAAATCTCATCTCGTGATAAAAGCAGAGAAACTGAATTATTGCTTTAAGCAGGACACTTTCACTCGTGAATGCAAATCTTTTGGCTTTCTGATGTAGTTCAAGATTCTGCTTACTATTAATGGAAAACAGTGTGTCATGCTTTGGCATTTGCTTTGACAAGCACAATATCAGAGCATACGAGGAGGGAATATTTTATTTTGTTTCAACTATCCTATTTCATGGATACATTTAAAATATTGTAGATACAACAGGAATGTCAAAAAATGTCCAATAGTGCCCTGGCCTGTGTGGCTCTGGTAAATTGAAATGTTGTGAGTTCAATTCCTGGTCAGGGCACATACCCAGATTGTGGGTTTGATCCCAGGTTGGGCATGTATGGGAGGCAATCCATCCAATCCATCTCTCTCTCTCTCTCTCTCTCTCTCTCTCTCTCTCTCTCTCTCTTTCTCTCTCTCTCTCTCTCTCCCTCCCTCCCTTTCTCTCTCTATAGAATCAATAAAAACATGTCCTCAGGTGAGGATTTGGGATACAAAAAGCTTCATATAGCAATTTCTAGTAAGGAATGGTCATAAATAAAAACAAAGTGGAACAAGGTGCCATATCATTTCCTTCCTTCATTTGGAATTCAAGTACACATATGAATGAAATGCTGGTTTCAAATAAAATCTGTTCACAACCAGATTACTGAGCCCCCACTGCAATAAAACATTGGCAATATGTGGAGTGTTCTAAAGAAGTGCATAACTTCTGGTTTGGGCAGGTAGGACATAGTCTCTGAGCGTGGAGACACCCACTTCTGCACTGACACCTGAAGATGATTGTGCCTGATTTTATCTGCTCTAACATGTTGGAACAATGGCCCTGGATTTTGCCTCTTCTCTCTGCAGTATTATTTTGACCACTAGAGCCAGCGTCTATCTGGGTCTAACTCAGAGAATTGGGAGGATTCTTATTTATGTTTTATAGGTTAGGTGTTTTATACATTCTTCCTGGCTAGAAGCTGATTATGACTGGGCATTGTTCACAATAAGGAAGAATAATCGGGGAACAAATATATTGTTCTTTTTATATCCCCACCCCCTCTCTCCAAAAAGAAAAAAACAAGCTAAGTTTATCTTGTTTACCTCTGACAACAATTCAAAACATATAATATTGGCTGCTGGAAATATAATGATGAACAGGGATGTCAAGATCCTGCTGATAAAGATCTCATACTCTCGCCAGAGGAGACAGATGCTCGAACATGCAATGCTGATGCTGTGCATTGATGGGCATGAGGATGGGCAGCTCTGGTGCTGACAGTGCACATAGCAGGGACATCTGCACTCCACCCGGTGGGTCAGAAGGCTTCTTGGGGGAAGTGTCTCAAATGGAACTGGAAAACTAAGCAGCCGTTAAGCTACATGTAGATAGGGTAGAAGATAGTACGGGAGTTCGGGGGAGAAAGGACTAGGGAGAGAAAGAGCATGAAGTTAAATATTGCTTTGGGGAGAGGAGAGGTCAGAAGGGATGGGAACAGAGGCTGGGAAGGGGAGGCCAGGTATGCAAGGGTCTCATATACTACATGAAGGAATTTAAACTTAAGTGAAGCAGTTAGAAGGTTTCACAGTAATCTATTTTAAGCCTGTGTCTTGACTATATGCTAACATTATTGAATGAAATAGCTAACATTTTTTCTAATTTTTTCACAACTATTTTAGGTATTATAAAATATGCAGAGGTTCAAATATAAGGATTTGTATAGTACATTTCTCCTGGAATTCAGTGTGAGAAAAACTTTACAACCAAATGTTTATACATACTTTTATTAGAAAAAGAACTGGGAAACTCTGTGATTTTGCTTATAGGAAGCTTAACACACACTTTGTGCTGCACTCCTTTAAGTTGTCAAGTATATATTCTCTTTAATCTTTCATTTTCATTTTCTTGTTGAAAAACTGTTCTGATATTACTAACTGTCCAGAATTTTTTCCAGAAGTAAATGGGCAAAAATCATAATTATATCTGAAAATAGGGTCATCATTTGAAGTTCCTATGTTTTCCATTTTAACCAATAATTTTAGTTCATATTTTCTTAAGGAGAATTCTTTGATCAAGACAGAAATCCTAGCAAAAAGGAAAATCATGCTGAAATCTTTGAAATTTAAATATAACCAATTGGCCCGGCCAGCATGGCTCAGTGGTTGAGTGTGGACCTATGAACCAGGAGGTCACAGTTCAACTCCCAGTGAGGGCACATGCTTGTGTTGCGGGCCCCATCCTCAGTGAGGGCCATGCAGGAGGCAGCCAATCAATGATTCTCCCTTATCACTGATGTTTCTAACTCTCTCTCCCTCTCCCTTCTTCCCTGAAATCAATGAAAATATATTAAAAATAAATATAACCAATAGCTAATTATTCTTTACTGCTGTGGGAATTAACTAGTCAATTGAGAGCCCAGAAAAATAGGTAGGTAGGTACACAGATAGACACAGAGATATACAGAGAGCTATCTGAAATATATCATGAATATCAGCACTGTCTTTTTCCAACATTTGAACTCTATGTATGTGTATATATGTGTATGCATATATGTGCAATCTTATATTTATACATACATCAAATATAGCAGGGGCTTTACACACCCTATTTGTTCATATACCATGAATATATGTATGTCCCACCCTGCTCCCCGAAGGATTAATATTAACTAGCACGCAACAGGTGAAGCAAATCGGCAAGTCCCCATCCCCTAAATACCACAGATTCAAACAAGCTGACAAAATGGGAAAGGAGATCCCACTAAATTATCACGACGAGACAGAGGGTGGGGCAAGAATTTGTTACCTGGTCCTGCCTATCTGCTTTGGACATGAGTAGATTTTACTCTTTAGTTTCAACATGGGAATAGCAGTTAGGCGAGATATGCAAAATACTTGGAGCTGGACCAAAAGGATAGGTGAGTTAAGAGACCATGTATTTCCTGAGATGCTGTGTATATAAGCTTTTAATAGGTTTATGTCAAAAATTGAAAGAAAATTATGAGATTTAATATTTTAATTAAACTAAATATGGAGCACAAGAAAACAAATGCAACTTTTTACTCAACCACACACTTCATATCTTCAGGTAAATTCAGTAACTTTTAAATATCAACTTGAATATATTACATTTAAATATTTTATTATTTGTAGACAGTGTTATAGCAACATGATTAATTCCTTCCCTTCTCCAAAAAAATATAATGAATTATTCTTTCAACTCAAGATTTTACTCTAGCAAGACAAGACTATTTTTAAAATCTAAAAAAAAAATGCATCTCTTATTTACGTCTATTTTTTAAAGGAGCTAAAACGATGATCCTCTTTTCTAAGTAATATATTTCATAAAGCCATAAAACATTCTTCAATATCACAGTGATAATTATAAGAAAGAATAGAATTCATCTTATGTCATTTACTACACACTGTCCTCTCACCCCCCAGAACATACTAAATGCATCCTCCTGAATTTAATTTCAAATTTCTGCAAAGGACATAGTCTTAAGAAATTAGAAAGGAATTTAAGCTCCAATTCATAGAATGTCATTTTCTCATATGTGAGAGATCACATACTAACACCACTCCTTTAGTTTAATATTCTGAAGAAACAATATCTGAAAGAGAACTAGTAGACAGGAGGCAGTGTGATAGCAAATTACATTAAACAATACAATTACCCTTAGTCTTCATAGCATGCTTTTTAAAATTGTATAGATTTTTATAAGATATGAAATGAAAACTCTCAATTGTCCAAGAGGTAGATGATGACCCCATTTTCCAAGTGGGAAACTGAGGCACTGATATGCCTTACCATAGGCTGCAAACATGGTCAGCAGCAGAATCAAAACTAGAAGCAGGCAGAACATGGCTGCCTCACATCTGCCAATGGAATGACAGGAATAATGTTGGTCCCCCCGCGTTGCCTGGGTTCCATCTTATTCTATGACAAGCATAGCTTTGGAGCTTTGAAACTCCATTTAAAGTTGGAGTTGCACATCTATTCTCCAATGGCAAGCTTGTGAGATCAACATGAGGAGCGGTTATTTATGGCAGCATCCTCAGACTCAGGAATGTGGACTATGTTGAAACCACATAGGATATATTTCAATAAATGAGATCAAGACATGAAAAACAAAATTAAAGGACACGTAATGCAATAACAAAAATTACAACTTCAGTTCAATATTTCTACTGTGATTCCACAAAGAGATGTATATGTGTACAATTAAAAATAATTTTTCAAACAATTGGATTTGAAATTTGACTCACATCTCTATGCTATGAGCCTTGATCTGCATGCTCCTAAATTAGGAAGGAACAAACATAGCATAATTTTACCATTTTATATTGAACACATCTCTCTCTAGAATACAAAAATGTACCCTTATCCAAAACAAGTAATTTTCTAAGCTCCTGAAATAGATTAAAGCGCTAAAGAAAATTGGATTATTTCACTGAACAGTGGTATTAGCCAAACAAGCAATATGGCCGGAAGGGAGATACAGTTGGTGGGGTGCTTTATGGGAAATGCAGGAAAATAAACAACAGTATTGTCCTTTAGGCTTGCGAGAAGGACGTCCATGGGTGCCAACCCCACAGTTACTGTATGAGTAGCCAGTACACGAGCGATACACTAACATAGATGACACACAGCATGATCCAGTTTATCCTTGTGATTGGCGGCCTGCGGTTACCTGTCACATGGAGGATGACATTGGAAGAGAGAATGCCACTAGAGTTCTGGGCCCGAGCCACATAGAGGCCTGCGTCTGCCCCGCATACCTTCGGAATGAACACCGCATGCCTCGTCTCCTTGTGTAAAACCTGTAAGTGTCCATCTGCAGGCAATTTCTGGCCCTTCTTGTACCTGAAGCAGAGAGTCAGTTTTTAAAATCAGGATCACTGTTTATTCACATTATATCCAATTTCTAAAAACCACTGCAGAGGCCCATCACCACGGCAATATTCTCTTGGAGGGGCAGGGACTTTGCAGCTACCACAGATTCCAAAGGGGCTGTTTATCCTTCAAGCAGAGGTTGGCAGCTGGTGGCCAGAGAAGTGCCTGATCGGCTCAGACCATGTTTTTAAAAAGCACATTTTTTGACAGCAGTTAACAATTGGAATGTTGCATGTGAAAATTCAGATAACCAACTACTCTCAAAAAAGCAGACCATCTGGTCACACGGGGGCTCCATTTGCTCATAGCAATTATCTAGAATGGGAAATGGCACCCTCCGATTTGGCTCCCCCATTCTTTCAGCTGCGATGGAACAGCAGTTTGTGGCGTCTGGAATCTGCATTGGAGTGACCCTCATCTGCCCCATTATATTCATTCCATACGATCCACATAAAAATACCAATGTGCTGTGTTAGAAGAAGGTACTTATGCAGCATTTCCTGGAGAAATGAGTTCATTTAATTAATGGATTAATCTCATTAGGAGAAATTTGTTTTTAATTATAAAAGGCATTTATGCAATTGGATTATTACTATTAATGACATGTTTCTAAAAGTTTCCTATGAACATGAGCACTTAGCTGCATATTTTTATAAAGCAAATAATTTATTTTGTATATTCTAGATTCTTTACTTATCAAGACCCACATTCTTCTACACAAGAAGTGATGACAAATCTGAATCGTTTTCTGTTCTCATGGCCTAAGCGATAATTTTGCATTTTTCCAAGTATCCTAAGAATGTGTGATAGCTCGCCAGTTATTAATGGAGTAAAATTGCAAATCTGAGGGTAAGATGTTTTCTCACAGTAGTCCTTCAGTATTATAGTTGCAATCGTTCTTCAAGAATATGTACTAACCAAGTTATTTGTTATGTGGACAAAAATAAGAAACACTTCAGACAACATTTTTCTTTGGGGTAAACTGATATTTAATGATGAATTAAATATCTTTTAAGTTCATAAATATGAAATTCCTGATCTGTAAAAAACCATGCAATTGTAAAAACAACAAAATAAAACAAAAAGCATAAATGCTGCACTGTAGCACAAGTGCGATTTCTTTTAATAATCTGAGAAACCAAAGTTTTCTCATAAATTCTTTAGATAACCGACTCACACTTCAAGTATCACCAGTGGGCACACACAATTACTGAAACTGAAAACTTAATATCGACTTAAACATTATGATAAATAGATGCTATTTTACTTATCGTAGTTTAGAAACATGAACTCGTTCCCACAAATTTATAACTTTGTCTTTAAATAAATATGCTTAAGGTTGAAAATTTTCTAAAATGTTTATAAGTAACCCAAGTATTGAGAAAGTTAGAACTGCTTTCATGGCAACAGTATGTGATTCAAAACCTGTATTCTGCAGGTTTACTCTTATTAAAACAAATAGGCTAAAAAATAATAATGTCTCCAGAGTGAAATCATATTGTTTACAGCTCAGTTATTGAACCACCTTTCAAAAATGGGTTTATTACCTGTCACTGCAAGTAGCTGTGAAAGAAATATTTTTATTCCACCTCTCACATTGAAGAAATGTATAAAAAGAAATCTTAGTGAAACAAACAAGGACTGCAAAAGTGACATGAGTGACTGCTGGGAAGAGAAAGAAGTTGAGAGAGGCAAATGAAAGAAAAGGGGAAAACCACCTTCTTATGGTTTTGTTTTGTTTTTAAATTGAGTAAGGGATGTTAAACCAAGAAAATGTCGTGCTTATGCAAAGCATCTCAACTCACCATCTTTAGGAATGTGGAATGTTAAATGGATACAAAAAGAGCACAAGGAAGTCACAGTGCTTTTGGAGTTTGTTAAGTTATTATTTTATATGGTTACTTTTTTTTGCTTCAGGGGATTAGCCATGCTGCTCCTAAGATGAGAGTTGGGGGTTGGTGTGAGGTTGCATCATGCAGAGTTGCAGTGCTGCCGAATATTAATCAGCTGTCCACGCCCCTGTAAGTTAGTGCCCACGAATGATTCCCTCAGTGATTCAATTTGTTTCTGGTTAAGGCTCGTCATTATAGGCTACCCACCATGTCAGTGTAGGCTCTGGAAATCCTGTTACTTCAACTTCCAAAGTCACTGGAGAACCTTCCACGACAGTGACATTAGACTGGAGCCTGGAGAAACTGGGTGCCTGGCCAGCTAGGCTGACCACGCTGTTCTTTGCTGATGTACTTTTAATCTCTTCCTGGGAAACCACTTGCCTCTGATAGACCCGGCTGGGGCCTAATTGGAACCCGAGGCCCGAGAGCGCGCCCGGGGAAGCATGCAGCCTGTCTTGGGTTTTAGTGCCGTTATTAGCAGCATGCATTTCCTCCCGGGTTTCTAGCACACTTTCCCGAGCCCGCGGGTGCTGCTGGCAAGCTCGCTCATGCACTCCACTCGGCATGCTCCCAGGATGGTCAGCGTGGCTTTTGCTGATGGCTGTGCTCTGTTCCAGAAACCCTCTGGAGGTGAATGGGGGCTCAGCTTTGAACTGGGGGGAAGGCTTCTCAAAATGACTTGAAAATGTTTCTCTCTCATCACTGCAAGTATCGGCAAAAGCAGCAGGCGGAGGAAGGCCACACTCCTGGGCCTCCCCTGGACCACTGGCCGCCATCTGCATCCTGTCGCTGCTCCTGTGAAGGCTGCGGGAGGGGCTGGCGTGTTCTTCTACCTCCATGTCCGACGGTGCGAGCGGGGAATCGGGGCTCCCTGGCAGTGGAGGTAAGGAGATGTCATCGGGAGAGACACACTCATGTTCTTCTGCAGAAAGCGTGTCCGCAGGCAGGGGCGGACCGTGGACACCGCGCTCTTGGCCAGAGGAGAGCCGCGGCCGGTCCGGAGGTAGCTGAGCCTCACCTGCTCCATCGACGGGCAAAGTGCCTGCCCCCTGCCCCTGCTCCTTCAAAACAGAGAAGCCAAAGCTTTCGGTTAGTCATTGGATTTCTTTTTCCAGGCCTCAAACTCAACTTCAGAGAGACGATTTGAGAAAACCCACAGCGAGGTAAAGCGGGCCCTGGCGCAAGCATTAGAGAACTTGAAACCACTTGTCTATTTAAACTGGCCACAGGCCCATCCCATGACAGGAATCGGTAAACTGACCTCCCATCTCCGAGTGAAACATGATAGACCTTGTGAAGAGAGAACAGCCTAGTTATCATCTCTAATGAAGCGCTTGGACTGGATAAATGTCTTTTCAAATCATAACCTGAGGAGCCTCCTTTCACCAGCAAATTCTGCATCAGTTTATCTGTCTACACTCCCCGTGAACACCGCTCCTACACATCAGAGGCTCCCCTGCTAGGTGAGCTCTGAGACTCCACTAGAATAGCCCCCCTCCTTCCTCAGGAAAGTCGTTCTTTTCGTTTTATTTTTTATTGTGGCAAAATACACATAACATAAAATTTACCGTTTTAACTATTTTTAAGTGTACAGTTAAGTGCCAGTAAATACATTCATATTATTGTGCAACCATCACACCAATCAACTCCAGTACTTTTTCATCTTTCCAAAGTGCAACTCTGTTCTCCATTCTCTCTCCCGCCAGCCCCTTCCACTTTCTGTCTCTATGAATTTGACAACTCTATAAACTTAGTCATTTTTAATGACTGGTTTTATTTTCTTAGAGCCCCTTAGTTCTAGTCTCACATTGAGAAATATCTACGAAGAGCCTGTGATATACTAGGTACTGTGCTAGGCATTGGAGAGGTGAAATGGTGAGTAAAAGTCAATACAGCCTCTGCCCTCATGGAGATGATAGCCTAGTGGGGAATGTAGATATTAATGGAACAGTCACACATTATGACCTTTCACAATGAAACACACCAAGATACAATAGAGGAACACTTGCCATTCATCTTTCTGTCCCAGGTGGGAACGTAAGTTGTGCCAGTCAGCACCTACTGCTCACATGGTTCTATTACTTCTCCCCACTAATCCACGTCTATCTCTGGTTTAAGAAGAGGCTCAAATACACCCTTTGGCACAGACTCAAAAGAACAGTGAAGCTGAAAGGGACCCCATCTATCCCAACCAGCTTGTTTTACACAGGCTTCTTTCTTTGCCTCTCCTCAGCATTTTGGATGCATGTTTTACTTAATTAACAATGACTGGTTTTGTTCCAATGCTACGGCGTGCACATAAGAAACTTATGTCGTGTCTTGACCTTGAGTTCTTTGTTTTTGCACATAGTCCTGCTCCTGACATACTTTATAAGTGAGTTTTGAGAATAAATGTGTTTTTAGGTTGAAGGTTAGAAGTAAAAATAAAACAATGCTCCTTCTACTAGCCTACAGACATGACTTGTTTTCAGAGAAATCATAAACCCAGCTTAGAGAAAGTGGTTTTCTTCAGCCATTTAAGAGAAGTTTGCATTTTGCATCTAACTGAGAAGTTCTTAAAAGTCCCTCAATTAAAAAAAAAATAAATAAACACATACCCAGCAGGTAATGCCTCTCCGTTTTTTTTTTTTTTTTTTTTTTTCCTTTTTTTTTTTTGGTTTTCCTACTACACCTTACCTCTGCCTCTTTATCTTTTCCTGAAAGTAGGATGTTTTTCTTCCTTTTCTTAGGGACATTGATCCAACTTCCTATTCAGTCTAAAAATCTTCTCTATGCCATCTGGCAGCCTCCATTTGCACACTTTTCCTGAAGGTGCTTTCTTTAAAGATAATTCTATGCTTTACTTGTCTTAAGAATCTCTGTCTATAATTAGCAAAGAGCTGCCGTCTCTCAGTACCCACCAATGGATCTGCACTGGCCTCCTGGAGTAGCAGAGATGTCCATCTGCTCTCTTAAAACAGCCCTTTACCATTGGGAGAACTGGTCCCACAGCCCCTCTGTCTCTGTCTTTGAACTTTCATCATCCTGACCACCTTCTGGAGGTCCTGGTCCTACTGCTATGACCTGCTTCACAGGGAAGCAGAGACATTTGTTGATCTAAGGATTACTCAGGGGCAGGCAACTCTTTAATGACTTTTTTGAGTAACCTATGGCTCTTTAGAAAAGAATAATGTTTTTAAAATGTGTGAAAATTTTCAAAAAATTTAGGAGGGAAACTAGAAAAAAAGTCCAGGCCAGTCTCCCCACTCCTCACTCCCTCCTGGAGAGGAACTGACTTACCTATTTGAGGGTTTAGTAGAAGAGACCCAACAATCGCAGCTCTCTGATGTTCTTTGTTTCAGATCTGCCTTCCACCAAATGGGTGCATTTACATTGGCTATAAGGCACGAAAAACCCCTGGACAGGAAGCCTGTGGTTGTCTAGCTATGCACCCAAGTGGCTGAGTAGACAAAAATGTCTAATCAGAGATGAAGTTTTGGGAAACCCTCTTAGATAAGTTCCAGTCGTGTCCTCCAATCCAGCTTTTACTGGTTACTGATTCCTGACTGCTGAGTCTCCCTTTCGGACTGTGCCAAACTCAAAAAGGCAATCCAAGAGTATTATTTTTCACTCCCTACAACTCCTAAAGCATAAAAAATACTTTCTGCAGAAAATAACACTACCTGATAACTTCTGGCAATAAAAGAAAGTTTTCTCAAGTCTTTTTTTTATAAACTTTTCAACTGATTAATATTCCCTCTAAATATGTTTATTTCCAGGATTCATTTACTTTCCAGGATGGTAAGCAACCAAATTATCTCTTTGATCTATATATGTTTTTATTAAAGTGATTGTACTATTTTTTTGTTTTTGTAAGAACTACATGGGACTATGAATTTATACCGAGTTTTTAAACAACTAAAATCTCGTACTTTCTCTGACCATTAATATCATTGATAAAAATGTTGAACACTGCATAAGTTAGGACAAGGCCAGATGTCTACCCCTGGCAAGGAAAGCTGTCTTCCAGGGTGACATTGATGAACTACTTGACACTCTTGGGTACAATTATCACCAGACCAAACTCATTCACCTCACATTTTCCCACTTAAAAGAGATAACATGAGTGTGTTTATCAAATGACTTCCTGAAACCATAATAAATTTTGTCTATGGCACTAATCTAGAACTGCCCAGTAAATAATCATCTCAGAAAGAAAAATAAGATGAGTTTAATACAAGTTTTTCTGAGCAAATCATGTTGGCTTTTGGCATTTCTGCCTTAATTTCAAATGCAAATAAGCTTTCAGTCTCTAAATCATTATGAATTTTATAAACATTCCTTCTAAATCTCACTGAGTTATACATTCCTGGATCTACTAGTTTTCCTTTATGATAATGGTTCCCCAACGTTCACATATACCAACTTTTTTTTCATATTTCCCCACCATGAAACTGTGTTTTTTTCTGACAGTAGAAACAGTGTGTGTGAGAGAGTGTGTACGTGTGTGTATTTCTACAAAAAGGTAGTTAATCTATATATTTCAGCACAGGTAGGGCATATTTGCATCAATCTGATTAATTCTGGCAAAAAGGCTGGGCAATTGATCTAATTCACTATAACACATCCCATTCTCAATGTGTTTCTCTTACAGCCTTGGTTGCTCTTTGTCTTTTTTGTTGATTTCTTTCTCTTTTCCCAACTTCTAAATATATGAATAACAAATGATCTTGTCTTTATGTTCTGTAATATTCTCTATATACTTTCCCCTCAAAGATCTCACCCACTTTCACATCTAATGACCAGTTAACTTTTATTTAATAACCCTAAATCTATAGCCTCAGATATTTTGTCAGGATTTCTGAACTTTCATTCCATTGATGAACATAATCACTTGGATTTCTAATCATTGCCAAACAAAATGAATACAGAATACAATGATATTCTACATTTACCAAAGAGTATAACACCAATCCTCAAAGTACATAGAGTGGGAAGCCACCTCTGTGGTAAATTTAAGGAAACACCACAAGACTTTACCTTCCAAAATATCTCAATCTTATCTTGGGCTCAGTACAATTAAATGAAGCTAAGTAAGAAGTGGTGGGAAAAAAAGACATGAAACATAGGGCTTGGTCTATGAAAGGCATTTCTGGGAATTTGGAAGGGGCTTTGGGCAGCCAAGGAGTTGACTTGGCACCTTTGGGCACTTGGAGTGAACAAGATAAAAGAGAACTGAAGGTGGTGAACAACACTTTGTCTTCTTCCCAAATTTTTTTCCAAAGCAAATGTCTCAAGATCATCTCCCCCTGCCTACCTAGGGATCAGGATTAGAGGAGGAGGGTCCAGGGAGCGTCCTCACCCAGGCTAAGAGCACTCCACTGAACTGTTTGCTATAAAAGTAATTCCATGCTGCTGCTTTATTAACCATCATGCAGACAGATGAATGCAAAGAGGGGAAAGGTTTGGCATAGGAATCTACAGTATCACTACAAAACAGCTTACTTATATGCAGCAGTTCCTTGGAGCTCCCTCTGGTCTTGTGGAAAGAGTTACATGGCTGAAATTCAGAAGAACTGGGCTGCCTGCCCAGTTCTGACACTACTTTGCTGCGATTTTTGGAGGGCAAAATAGATCAACTCTTTTAGCCTCAGTTTCCTCAACTGTAAAATGAGATTTGATCAGATGATTGTTAAATCCCTTCTAGCACTAGAATTCTATAACTCTAATTGCTGGCATGGCAAGCCTTCATCTTCTACTGAACAGTTCTGTGACTTTAGGCGAGTCTCTTAATACTCTGCATCTCCATTTAATCTCAGGAGTTTTCACATATTATTGTGGATTTAGCTTCGGTCTTCACCTTGGGGTTAAAATACCATCACTAATCTGTTAGCAGTGCAATGAGCATTGCATTTACTGAATTGCCCAATTCCACCTGCTGCATTTTTGGGTCAGAAAAATGAGAAGCACTTTACTATCTCCAGGAGAAAATCTTGTGATTAATAAATTCTTGTGATATGTTGGTGGAATTGTTCTTTCTGACATATCATTTCCCAAGGAAGATCAACACAATTTAAGGGTATTAGAATTGAACTTAGTGATACCTCAACAACCTTTTTATGTGTTGCTTCTTATTATCTGCCCACATGGTGCTTTGGGGAATCATTACATCTGACCTATAATATAAGTGATAGAGAGTCAGAGGGTAAATGTGATTGTGATATTTAAAAGTGAAGATTACTACTGCCTTTAATTTTGCTTTCTGTACCAATTGTACTGAATGTTATACATGAAATCATGCCAATGAGGGTTCTTGACAGCTATAATTGTGGACCTTCATTTTTATCTTAAATAACTAATGATCGATCGTATCTTTTACTTTATATGAAAATAAAAATGACTTTTGAATGAAGGTAAATCTCTTTTTTCTATTGAAAGGAATTTGTTTCTTTAACTCTTCTTCCAAGCAAAATAATAGCAAGAAAAATCATTTTTTACTACGTTTTGGTTTGGTAGCAATAACTTTCATTTCTAATCTTCGTAAATGTGTGTGGTTGACAATGTAGAAAAATGTGCAGAATTACAAAAATATGGTGTTGGATTTAGTATGTTTTAGAAACAATTAAGAAAATGTGATACATTTAATGTTATTTTTTATTATTTTAACTAGTAGAGTTCAATCAAGAGTGATTTTGCTCCCCAGAAGATGTTTGGCAATTTCTATAGGCACTTTTGGTTGTCACAACTGGTGGGGTGGGGAACACTACTACTGGCATTCAGAATAGAGGCCAGGACTGCTGCCAAACATCCTATAAAGCAGAATGCTTTGGACCAAAATGCCTGTAGTACTAAGGTTGGAAAACCCTGATTTAGACCAATCAGAGTAACCAAAGACTAAGATATAAGATTAGGATCCAACAAGTTGTCCAAGGTTTGCCTCAGAGAAGAACCAGGGTCACCCCATCAAAAAAGGCAGCTTGCTTAATGGTTCGTACTGTCTGGTGGTTATATAATTAAACTAGATCTTCACATACATTTAACCCATGGAAAAGGACATATAAACAAGCTCTGAGAACTGTATTAACTCCGAGGAAACATAACTGTTTTTTCATGAAATGTGCACAACAATTGGGGAGATTTTTCTTTTTTTGAGTCTCGGGTCACAAGAAATATTATTTATTAACTTGGGGTAGTTGAGAATAGTGTTGATTCTGCTTGTTACTTGAATTTCTTGGGAGAGGGAGAACAGAGGGAGCAGGCAACTTGGCAAAGCAAAGAGTCCGGAGGTAATTATAGTCCAGCAGCTATGAATAGAGAGTGAGCAACTTATGCCGAAACCCATAATGATGTGATTTAAATAATACATTTGATATCACGACACATTTGCATTCCGTGGGTATTTGCAGTTTTTGCTACATGCTTAATTTATCTGTAATGCATAGGACTTAAAGAAATCTAAACATTTCCCTAAATAGTTTAGTATTCATACTTCAGTTGGATTCTATATTTTAGTGCCTGGAAATATCTTAAAGGCAGAGTCTCCGGGAACAAGATACTATCTGATTTCATATATTAAGGTTTTCTAATGGTACTATAAACAATAAAATCATAGCTTGGTGGTATCGTAAAGTGGGAGAAATAAAATCTGACGTTGGGATTGAAAGAAAGGACAATGAAAGAGGCAGCTAAAGATGAGAGAAATAGAAATGGTTTGGGGGTGACAGTGTGGTGTTTAAATGGCTACCTCAGTGTCAATGTAAAATGCTATGGTTCTAGTGTTCATTAGGAGGGACTCAAGGAAAAAGCATTGAGCAAAAGGACTAACTAGGGGGTAGAAAGGCAGTAAGGGATGAGGGCACTCGCATTGCATTTACATCGGGAGACTTGATCCATATCGATAAGAAGGCTTCAATACACCTTTTTTTTTGCAATGCACAATGACTTGAACATCAAAACAGAAGTAATGAGTAGCCAAGGCTATGCAATTTTCTTTACCTTATTCATTTCTTCATTGAAAACTGTCTGCTTACTTCTCACTGGTTCTTTCAGAAGGTCAATGCAATCATCGTGGAAGTCTTCCGAACTCAGATTTATCTTTAGAGCATCTCCCTGCTGTACAAAGGGATAGTTAGTGAGTGCCTGGGCCAGAAAAGGTGGAGGGACAGTGCCATATAATAATCACTTGGAAGAAAAAAGGCAACTTGCAACCTTTAAGTGAATATATTCCACACAAGACTGATGTCTTCCCATAAGATTTATGAAATTACCCCTCCAAGTTCACAGTTCCCCTCCTCATTCCTTTGATAAAGTTCATTGCCAATAAAAATTGGTTGTTCAAAGGCCCAGAAGGAAAAAAAAGTCATTGTTACAACAGAATGCACCTGCAGGAGCATTCTTGAGAGAAAGGTGTGATTGTACACTGCAATTTAAACCATTAGGAGAGTCTGGGGGAGCAGCAATGAGGCAGAAATGACTAAGGATTTCTGGTGTAGCAAAAAGCAGGATATCCAGAGAACTTAAGCAAAATGCTTGCAAGACTCATGAAAAGAGGGAGGAAATATCACTGAATGTTAAAAAACACACACAATTGAGAACAAAGGACAATATCTTGCTCCTGCATTTCATGGGGTTCTGCCTTAGTCATGGAGGTTGAGGGGGTTTGCAAACTGCTGTGGAGCCAGTGTGAGGGCTGAGAGGACTTGGTGAAGGTGAGAAAAGACATGGGTACACAAGTGACAACACCAGTTTAGAATGATGATTCTACTGCAACAGAAGGTTCTCTGTTCCACCTGGAACATGGTCATTGCATGAGCCTTCAAGAAATAGGCATGCCCATCAAAGTACACATTCTACACTGACTCAGAGGATTAGGGGGGCACATTTTGGGGGATATTCAGCTTTAGCCTCAATTCTAAAACCTAAACTAGTTTGTATTACTGGTCACTCTGCATTAGTACACACTTGATACCTAATTCCAAATGGCAGCTGTTGTAGAAAGAACGTTAGATCTTAAATCATATCTAAGTTCAAATTCCAGGTCCACCACTACTGACTGGGAGCCCAGGAAAGCACTTTCACCCTCTCTGAGCTTCCCTCTGAAACAAACAAACAAACAAACAAACAAACAAACACATTTGCCCTAGCTCCATTGCAAGGTTATTTGGAAATCACTGATGTAATTATGTATGAGAATCCTTTGTAAATCTCAAATTGCTATACAAATAGAAAGGATTATTATCACTAGTTCAGCCTTGACAGGGATGCCTGGGCCTACTTTTTAATAGCTCCTAAAATGAGCCATAGTATCAAGCATAAAAACTAGTCATTGAGGCTTCTCATGCAAACATCTGTAAGTGCTAGGAAGCGTTCTCTGACAAGCTTTTGTTCAGGCTCCAACTCCCAAGGGCAATACTGATGCCCGTTTCTCTTGCCAGAAAGGCCTCTCCTCATTTTTACCACCTGATCCAACCTTTCTGAGCTATAGAATGATTCTTCTCTGTACTAATCCTTTGAGTTTTTACTATAAACATCAAAACCCTTTCTGGAGAAGCTGCTTTAGGCAAAATAAAGTGCAAATGTGTGGGTGCTATACTGAAGAGAGCCATAGCGTTTCCTCAGATATAACAGGCAGGTGAGTTAGGGATGGTAATGGTAGTTATATTGGTGATTGTGCCAGGAAAAAACACAATGCTAGGGGAGACCAGAGGAAGTGACACCTAAGGAAGGTGATGTGGAGGAGGCAGTGTTTGGCTTTGCCTATGAGAGATGGTAAGATTCGGAGAAACAGAGATAGAAGGTCATGTGTTTGAAGTAAAGGTTTAGAAGCAGGAAACCTGGGAATGTGGGGGTAGCAGACCAGTGAGACAGGAACTTATAATGGAGCACAGGTAATTCCATACTGCTTTCCACAGTGGCTGCACCAATCTGCATTATCAGCTGCATTTTTATACACCAATAATGAACTATCAGAAAGGGAAACTAAGAAAACAATCCCATTTACTATTGCATCAAAAAATGAAATAAAATATCTAGGAATAAATTTAACCAAGGATGTAAAAGACCTGTACTCAGAAAATTATAAGACTCTGAAGAAAGAAATTGAAGAAGATACAAATAAGTGGAAGCATATACTGTGTTCATGGGTTGGAAGAATTAACATCATTAAAAAGTCCATACTACCCAAAGCAATCTATAGATTCAATGCAATTCCTATCAAGACACCAATAGCACATTTCCCAGCACTAGAACAAATATTCCAAAAATGTATATGGAACCACAAAAGACCCTGAATAGCCACATCAATCTTGAGAAAAAAGAACATAGTTGGAGGAATTACGCTACCTGATACCAAACTATACTACAAGGCCATAGTAATCAAAATAGTATCGATTTTCTATTTCATGAATAATGCTAATGATTAGTTTAATATTTCCGTGAAGTTAATAGTTCAATGAACATAATACCTGAAACATAGTTTTATTTTTATTTTCTCTTGGGCCACAATCTGGAGAGAAAATAAAAACTTACGTTCATTATTTATGACTAAAAACGTAAGGTTACTTAATGCAGACTTTAGTTTGATTTTAATAGTGAACATTTATCCTTTAGGATATGATCCATGAAAATGTAAACGAGACATCTTAATTGTGTTTAACCCTCATTCTAACAATGTGTTTTCTCTGCAGTGATGAAAAAGAAACAGAATTAATTATCAGAAACACCCAAATAATTATGTTAGAAAACTGTGAAACAAATGTGCACATTATGTCCCTTGAGAACTTCCCTTAGAACACCTTTGCACCAGAAGACACCTGATGAACACATTTTTATTTATACCACTTGAACATACATATTCTGAGAAGACATTACCTTCAGCTTTTCTTCAAGCTCTGTGAGAGAGCTGCATAATTCAGTAATAGATTCAAGAACCTCTTTGTGTTTTGCCACAATTTTTTCAGTACATTTCTGCCCTTCTTCAAAACCTGGAAAGGAAAAGGAATAAAACTATCTTTAAAAGTCAAATCCTTGGCAGAAAAAACAAAACAGGTTTTAATTCATCTCCCCAGTGTCTGGTGTAAGGTCTGGTAGATAGTAAGTGCTTAATAAAATATGTGCTAAACAGATAAATAAATAAAGGCATTTTTGAGAACCAGGTATTCTAGAAAAATGCTTACATTTACTGTATCATGTCTCTTTTATGTAACCTAAATAATGTTGCTATATTACTATTCTTAAAGCTGAATTCCAATCAGTTTTACCCAATTCAGAATGTTCAGTGGTTCTTCAGTACCTAGAGCGTATGCATTCAAGGCCCTAATAATATGGGTTTAACTTGCCCCTCTCAAATATTTATCATCCTAATTCTCTCACATATTTCATCTCTGGCCAAACTGAACAAGAAACTCTTCCCTCAAAATCCTCACAGCCACTGAGCATTCTTTCCTGTACTGGGAATGCCCTTCCCCCATTTCATTTTCACTGTCAAAACCCTACCTACTTTTCAAGCTCTACCTTAAGTGGCAACATCTTTGTGAAAATATTTTTAATCTTTCCCAAATGCATTTAATCTCTCCCGATTGGAATAATGAACATGTCTACCATGTAGTGAGTGCATAGGCACTTCATATGCATTATCTAATGTAATCCTCCTCAAGTAGGTTCGCTTGTATTTTACAAATGAAGAATCTGAGACTCAAAAGAGCCTCTTCTGGTAACCCAGACAATAACTGGAGGACCAGGGTATCAATCCAGCTCTACTAGAATCCAAAGTTTAGGCTGAACTGTACTGCACATCATTATGGGCTGAAATGTGTTCCTCCCCAAATTCACATGCTGTAGTCCCAATCCCCAGTATCTCAGAATGTAACCCTATTTGAAGATAAGGTTTTCAAAGTGGTAATTAAGTTAAAACGAGGCCATTAAGGTGAGGCCCTAAACCAGGGGTGGGCAAACTTTTTGACTCGAGGGCCACAAGGGGTTCTTAAACTGGACCGGAGGGCCGGAACAAAAGCATGGATGGAGTGTTTGTGTGAACTAATATAAATTCAAAGTAAACATCATTACATAAAAGGGTACGGTCTTTTTTTTTTTTTTAGTTTTATTCATTTCAAATGGGCCGGATCCAGCCCGCGGGCTATAGTTTGCCCACGGCTGCCCTAAACCAATATGACTAGTGTCCTTATGAGAACAGGAAGAGACAACAGGGTATGTGTGCACAGAGGGGTGTCCATGTGAAGAGGCAGCAAGGGGTGGCCATCTGCAAGCCAAGGAAAGAAGCCTGAGGAGAGACTGACCCTGTCAGTACCTTGATCTTACACTCCCAGCCACCAGAACTGGGGGAAATAAATTCCTGTTGTTTAAGCCACCCAGTCTGTGGCGTGTTGCTATGGCAGCCTGAGCTAATAGACATACTTTATACCTCCCTCGCTGTATTTACCATATCATGATTTCTAAGCCGACCATGGATTCTTGAATGAAGGAGCTAGATTTTATTTGTCTTTATATTGGTTAGAACTCCTAGTACTTAATAGGTACTCAAAAATCTTTGTGATAAATTTACTTGCATTAAAATTCTGGGTTCAGTAATGTTTGGGCAACCTGAAAGAGTAGATGATTTAGCCCTAACTGGTTTGGCTCAGTGGATAGAGTGTTGCCCTGCGGACTGAGGGGTCCCAGGTTTGATTCCAGTCAAGGGCATGTATCTTGGTTGCAGGCACATCCCCAGTGGCGGTGTGCAGGAGGCAGCTGATCGATGTTTCTCTCTCATCAATGTTTCTAACTCTCTATCCCTCTCTCTTCCTCTCTGTAAAAAATCAATAAAATATTTTTTTTAAAAAAGAGTAGATGATTTAATAGTCCTAAAGTATCTAACTTGATGCAATTTTTAAAAAATGCATAACTTCCATATTTAACAGGAAAAGACTCATGCTGTTCTTTCAATGATTCATTATTCATCAAATATTTGTTTAGCACTTAGTATGTATCATGAAGCAGTAAACTAACAGGCAAAATCCCTTCTCTAATAGAGTTTACACTCTGGTAAGGAAAGGCAGAAAACAGATAAATAACTATATAAAAGTGAGTTGGTAATAAGGGTCAGGAATATAAAACAAAGCAGGATACAGAATCATGCATGCTGGGAGGGGTGGGTCTTTATGAGTACTCACTGAGTACTAAAATTGAATAGGCACTGAATGCAGTGATAAAATATACTTCCTATGCCCTCAATGAGCTATGGTCAGTAGAAAAGACAAATAAAAAGGCAATTATGCTATAGTGTAAAAAATATAATACTAAAAGAAAACATATACAATACTATGAGGACAGAGTGCCTCCAAAATTTTTGGTGCAACTCATAGAATAACAACAGTAAGAATGTGACTTCATATTAGTTTTCATTAATTTTTCAATCTGTATTTTATTATTTTGATGTTTCTACTTTTTACCTTTGGAAAATCATTAACAATTCATTCACAACAATTTAATATTAGTGCAGTATCTATTGTTCTACAAATCGTTAGGTCAATCCATGGACAGTGTGCTTCATGTAATAAGAGAAAATCCCCATCTGGCATCCAAATGAAGCATTTTGACCACCTGTTGCTATCTTCTTTTGGGGATGAATTTGCCTGGTCACTGGGAGTAAGTCTTGGTCTCAGTTAATAACGTCTGGGAATTGATGAAACATTCCTCACTGCTCTCAAGGACTGTCATTATCCAGGGGACATCTTAAATGGGAGCCTCCTTTAGCTAGAAGGACTTCTCAGATAGTAGAGCTAACAACTTACCTCTCCTAGTCATGGAGAAGAGGAAAGAAGAACCCAGGAGATGATAATTTTAGTTTTTCCATTTACTCCATGAGTGAGAAGAAGGCAAGAGAAAATTTTCCATCTTTCTTATGTCCACAAGCCATAACTATCATAGAAATGAGAAGGCTGTAGACTTTAGTCTCAGCTTGATACTTATTTAAAGTATCATGGGAAATTTGTATGTTTTTCAAGGAATCACACTAGTGGAAATTAGATTTTTTTTGGTCTACAAAAGCTGAGTATTGTCCAGTTTTGCTGTCCTGGAATTACCCTGGAGATGGGCAGCAAGAATGGGGAGAGAGGAGGACAGAGAAGGAGGTTTACATAAGGTAGCTAAAAATCTGCAAGCTTCATCTGCAGACAGAAGTTCCATCTTCTATTCCCCAGTGTTTACTTTTGCTGGTTGTGAGCTCTTATCTTGAGCCTTTTCCCTGAATAGATTGGTGTAGAGAGGACCATGAGGACTTGTGACCTTCTGCTTTCTGCTAGATTAGGTTCAGCATAGGTTTGTTTCATGAGAAATCATGGCATATTTTAAAAGAGATCTCACCAATTAACCAAAGAACTGGTATGCATATATGCACAACCCATGGACATAGACAGTAGTGTGGTGAACGGCCTGGGGCTGGGGGAAGGTGCAGGCTGGGACTCACTGGGGAAAAGAAGGAGACATCTGTAGCACTTTCAACAATAAAGATAAAAAATATTTCATGTAAAACCACATGAAATACATTAGAAAAATATCTATTCACACTTATGCCTTTAGCTAGTCATGGCCTCAAATAAGTTTTCTCTTTCATATATGAGGGGGAAAGCTTTATGGAATTATTAAAACACCTTTTAAATCCGAGAGAGAGAGAGAGAGAGAGAGAGAGAGAGAGAGAGAGAGAGAGAGACCTCACCATATAATCGCTGAGCGAGGTCACTGATCTCCTGAATCCTTTCTTCTTGCTGAGGCACTGAAGGCGTGATAAACTTGTTGAACTGCTGGTGTAGAATTTCCACAGCCTCCCTTGTCTGGCATTCTGTGGAATATTTTCCAACTCTTACAACTGTGGCACTTGCATCTTCACACCAAAAATGACACTAAATTAAAATGGAACAAAGCATAGATTAAAGAGACACCATCATTCTAATGTTCTTTGCTTTGGTCACTGAAGTATCAAATTTAAATTTTCTCAAACTTTATATTCACATTAGTTTGAATTCTCTAAGTCTTAATAAAAAATATCAAAGCATGATCATATACTTTGTACTTGGATATTAGAGTCAGATAAGAAAAAGTATGAAAATTCATTTGATTTTCTTCCTTCTTAAATTTGTCTGAAGCATAATTCCTAGGAGGAAGGTTGCATATTTGCAAGAACAGGCAATATAAAAAGTGTACTGCACTAAAAATCCAACTATAAGCTAAAAGGAATTTAAAAAGCCCAAACACAAAATCCAGCCTAATTTATTGAAACCATTAACAATACATGGATAAAGTATTGCCTGATTATCACTCAAATGACTTCTCTTTTAAGAATGAGATGTAGTCTTTGGATTAAGGAAATATCATCTAAGGAATAGCATTTGACCTTTTTTGTAATAGAAGACAGTCATATCTTCAAAGCACACTGGAGAACTGAGTTTCTTCACTAAAATAAATAACCATGATGGAAGGAACATGTCTGACCAAGGCCACAAGCTCTTACACTGAGTGGGAAATAGAAACACATGACTTTGTTAGGAGCCAGCTTTGAATAAGTGCCGCAGAGCTACAGCAAACCTGTGTGTCATAGAAGAGTGATCATCTGGATCCTCCTTAATATGGTGTTAAATCTAAAAACTCTACTGCCTCAGTGGTAAATAAAGGTGCATTGTTTTTTTGTTTGTTTGTTTTTTGAATCTCAGAATAATGGGCTACAAAGAATACTCAAGAACTTCGAGTGCAGAGTTTCTTCAATATAAGTGTACAGCCCCACTGGTGTGGCTCAGTGTTTGAGCATTGACCTACGAACAATTCCCGGTCAGGGCACATGCCTGGTTGTATGCCTGATCCCCAGTAGAGGGCATGCAGGAGGCAGCCCATCAGTGATTATCATCATTGATGTTTCTATCTCTCTCTCCCTCTCCCTTCCTCTCTGAAATCAATAAAAACATATTTAAATGTGTGTATTTGTGTGTGTGTGAAAATAATAACTTTAACTTGTCAAATTTTATATATTTTATGTATACTCTTCCATTTTATCCTTTTGACAAAACAAAAATAACACCAATAACAATTTTTATACCTGAAAAATCCAAGTATCACCCTTTCTTTCTAAAAACTTTCAGATTCTGTGAAGTAAATAAGTCATTTTGGGTATTTTAAACAGATATCCAGCAGTGAACATAATTTCATGATTGTTAAACATCTTGAGTTGACAAGGTTATGGAGAAATGAGAAACTTTCATATGTTGCTAGTAAGAGAAAGTTAGTCAAGTCTTTCTGAAGGGCAATTGGACAATACAATCAAAATGTTGTAATATTCATCCCTTTTGGTTCAGCAATTCTACTTTAGAAAATTGTCCTAAACAAATAATCATGGAAAGGAGAATGATACATGGGCTTAATGACAATAATAGCTTTAACAGCATTGTTTTAAAGTATCAGAGTGATTTTCTAGGACAGCATTACAGTATGGATACCACGCCAGGAAGCAGATACCTCTTCTATCATCTCATGGAGGTGCTCGGTCAGGTCCAAATTCTTCTTGTAATCTGTTACAACTTTATCAAACTCATCCACATGTTTTTGCAAATCCTTCATGGCTTCCAAAAGGTCAGTAACTTTACTATTTGGGTAATTTAAGAAAGATTCAGGAGTCTTGTTCTCAACTTTTTCCATTTTCCTTTTCAAAACCTGTGCCAAAAAATAAAAATTTTTAAATAAAATTCAATTTTTATTTAAGAGGCTAGCTGACTAAATATTAGAGGAACACTTGGGAAAACTATTTGAAGCTTTCTCCATTATAATATATTAAAATTATAATTATTACAAATGAATTTTGGAAAGAATGGGCTTTCTTCTAGATAGTATATTGATTCAGCATTCAGCAAACATATAGAAAATTAACTTTAGACCAGGGTCTATTCCAGATTTTGAGAATGATATTATGATAAAAAAATAAGACAATGATCATAAAATCAGATATTTTATTGTCTTCAGTAAGTTCACTGTCTCCTGGAAAAGGCATTCAAATAATCTAGTCTGTAGATGTGATAATCAAGGTAGGTGTACAGAACTATAGAAGCAGTGGAGAAAGGTCCTTACATAAGCAGGTATGAGGGGAAAAAGAAGGATGTACAAAAGGTATATGCATGTGTGCATGCATGTATGTGTGTGCATGTGTGTGAGTGTGTATGTTTGTGTGTGTTGGGGGCAAGAATGGAAGCAGAGAGGCTAGGTAGGTTTGATAGAAACCATTCTGGAGCTGCTTTCAAAGATAAATCAATTTATTATATATTTTACATAAAAAATTTAATTGCTATAAAAATGGATAACTACCTTTTCAGTCCCAATGCTGAAAAAAAACCCCAAGGATTAAGCATCTAGAATTGAAATGCAAAATGATTTTGCAATAACTGTAGTTGTGCATGCAAATACACACACACACTTTTTCATTACCTGTATTTTCTCAGCATACATATCAACTTGTTGAATTTGATATTTCAGAACCTTCAGATTCTTTGCTTTTTCATTTTTCTTAGTGTAATTAAACTTCAAATTGTTAAATTTCTTTTTGATATCCTTGAATGACTCTCTGAGCTGCAGGTCAATAAAAAGAAAGAGGTGATTTCCTTAAAATGAGAACAGTAATATTCACTTGTAATAAATGAAAACATCTAAACACTTCAAAATATTCATAATCTTTAAGATGTGCTTAGTGATTTTCAATAGAAAACATGTCAGCTAAGTGAACATATATTGTGAATTTAAACGTATCCCCAAAATATAAGTAATTATGGATTTGTCTTAGTACTTTTAGAGTTTAATTTATAATTAGCCTTACTGTTATAGAACATCCTTTGGCCTCCACCAATAAAGTTTTTAAGATATCATGAACTTTAGACAACTCTAATTTTCCTATTTGTACTTATTTAGTATCATTTTTCCATTCATTCCATTCTCTGTGTGTTTGACATCTGCTGTTTAGATGGGAAAGATCAACATCTATTTGAAAATATGTGATGAATGGAGAAAGGCTGAATCTTAACCCTTTAATTCTAAGCCATGAAATTTTAAGTCTGGATGAAGAAATTGAAGATGGATAAAAAATGAGTGCAATTTCATTTCCATTGGTTTCAGAATGTAAGCACTTCCACTGAAAATGACCTAAAGGCCAAAGAATGTTCATGGCACTATGGGTATGTGACATGGGATCGGCTTCTCTCTGACACATGAGCTCCTCTGACAAAGTTGCTGGCACTTTTCTCTTTGGGTCCCACTGGAAATCCATCTTAAATGTCGTGCCTTTCCCAGCTGGGATTCAGGACCGCTGCAGATACAAGTGGGAGGCAGCATGCACGAACCACCTTCAGCAAAAAAAATCTAGTCATGCTTACTTTTCTTATCTGCACCTTTTAATATGAAAACTTAACTTCCCATCTAATCCCCACGTAACCTGTGATCATATTTTTAAAGGAATTGAGTGTCATGGTCGCTTGATTGTGGTATCATTGTTCGTGCAGCTGTTTCTAAGTTTAGCTAGCTTGTCAACAATGGGGAATGGTGGCGATGGCTAAGACAACTGCTCAACTGGAGCACATAAACCACCGAAACACCAAAGCTTGGGGCAAGATGAAATTTACCCAGAAATATTTGAATGTTGTTATAATTCATATTCATAAAAATTTATGAAAGTCTTACATAATTCAGAGGGAGATTTTTTTTCCCTAGTGAATAGTATGATTTTCCTACCTTCCCACTTGCTTGTCTTTGCTATGGAATAAGCAGACTAAGTTAATATAGCTATAATTAGGGGGGAAATAGGAAGACTTTAAAACTGTAGGTCTTTTGACACTAGCAGAATGAGCATCCTCACCAAATGTCCCAGGGAGCAGCAGGCCTCTCTCAGGGTTAGGAATGAACAAAGCTTCGTTGAGAAGAAACAGAAGGGAAAGAGGCTGACGACAAGGAGACTGGCTTGCTATTCTTAGTGCTGATTGAGCAGCGTTGGCACAAGAATGTATTAGTGAGTCTGTTGCTGACAAGGCCAATTTATGTAGGGGACGTGGGACATTTTAAAACTAAGGAAGTACATTTCACACAAAAGCCTTTCATTAGAACTATGGCACATGTTTGGCCAGAACTAAAAACACAGAACAAGTAGTCCATTTCTTTTAATGGCCATTTCATGAGCTTCATTTCTTGCCCACCATTGTGCCCAATCCAGACAAAAGCTTTCTGATTGATGCTCATTTTAGGAAGAGAAAGCTGCAATGTTGTCATCTCCCAGGGATGCTTGCATTTGACATGAAGGGACCCAAAGACTCACAATTTAACCAGAATGATTTGTTATACAATTAGTAATGGCAGACTATTAAGTCTTAGCACTGGAGAGATTTCGGGATAAGACTTTCTTGCCCTCCTTCCATAAAGCAACTACACCGCTGTCTTGCTGTGCTTAAGGCCAGTCTTGTACCGGCAGAAAGTAGGGGGCTTGGAAAGAGAAGACAGTTGCCCCGTTTTAAATTATAGGTGGCAGCATGCCTCAGTAGTGCCCATTTTATCCACCCTGCAAGTTTTGTGTCCATAATGTATTTAAGTTTATTTTCTGAATATAACTATGATGTTACAATTTAGCTCTCTATAGCCTTTAGAAAGAAGAGGCATTTTGTAGATGTAAAACACCAAACTTTTAACAGATTTTAACCATATGAGATGGACGTTTTCAGAACAAATCACAATACTTCCTATTCTCTTACACATGTCATCGGATGGACCCAGGGCGGGGCCTGATGACGGGTGGCTATGGCTGAAGTCCCAGGGGCTTTAACCTGCCCTGGGCTCTGATTCCTGAGGGCTTCTGCATTCTTAGGACCCTCCTGTCACCACATAGCCATGCTGATATTTGCTGAATGACAATAATTTAGGTTTTTCTCTTAAAATGATGAACAAAAGTTATCAATCTACAAAAAAAATAATTTTCTGTGCTGCCCCCATCAAGTCTTTTACTCATCTATACACACATTTTCTGCTTCTTTTCTTGCTAGGGGGTGACTGTCCATGGTCATTTTGTCAATGGCAAACCACCATGCAATGTCAGGAGGCTTAATAATTGTATATGTGTCTAGAGCTGCACCATTCCCCCATTCTAATTTATCATTTCTAATCTGCCTTGTATCCATGGAACAAAAACTCTGACATATGATAGAAAGATATATATATATATATATATATATATATATATATATATATAGTCATTTTCTGTTTCCTTCCTGATGGTTAAATGTTGCTACAGTGCAAAAAATTCAGGCTAAGTAATATAATTATATGAAAGCTTCTGATTGCAAATTTGAGAAAATGGATAGCAACCCAATTCTGTCATTACTATTCTTTTCAGCAAAGTAATTGTTTGTGGTCTATAATGAGACTCTAGCTACAATTTCCATTAACATCATGTAAATGTAGAGGTAATTTTTTATCAGATTGCAAGAAGAAAATATGCTCAATATTAACTTATTACATTTCTAAATGAAGATGGTAAAGAATGAGTAATGATGTTCTGTCATATAATATGGCAGAGAATGTCTATAGTGCTTTGTGTATTAATAGCTTATTTATATTGTCAGGCGACAAAACATAATGAAATTCAACATTCATGCATACAAACATATCTTTGTGGGAAATGGGTGAGAAAAAAATCACAAAATATGTCAGTCTGGAGACTGTGTTTTCTAGTAGGAAGACATGGAGAAAATGAATTTTCATAATTTCCTATGTCATTTAGTATATGAAATTTAAAAAACTAATATTTTAACCAAAGATGATCAAGGCCCAAAACCATGATTCTTTGTCTTTAAGAAATTATCACATTTTTTAAAATCACATTTAGAACATCTCACTTCATTTTGCCTTGAGGTACCACGTCCTTTTCTAAGGGCCTTTCATGTAGTTAAAACCATGTATGTTAGTTATGGCAGCATCAAGAAAGTAATTTTGGTTGAAATGACCAAATTAACTGTTATTGTATCAGATCATACAAACAGCCTATGACATATACACCACAGAGTAAAGATAGGCGAGAAAAGTATAGAAAAGAAGTACATTTGACATCAGATATGCAGTGACTGAATGAACTAAAACATTAACTGAAAGGTGAAGTCTGAGTTTAGCAACTGACAGGTGTGTTGGTGGCCAGTAAATGAGCCCCTGGCCCAAAGCTGACTCCTGACATTCTCTGAGCTGAAACTCTGCAGTCCTATGGCACAATAGGTGAAAACTATCGTATACATCTCATCCGAGGAATAAAGATGTTAAACCAGATATCCTTCAAAATTCATTTCAACTCAGAATCTGTGAACTTGCAAAAAGCCCTTTAAGAAAACAATGAAATATTAGAAGAAAAACGTGTTTTCAAATCAACATATAAGCCAAACCAATGGACATGGACAACAGGGGGATGAGAGCATGAGTGGGGGGTGGGGAGGGCGGGGAGATTGGGAGTTAATGGGAAATGAGGACACATTTGTAATACCTTAACCAATAAAGAAATTTTAAAAAAATCAAATGCTATGCATGGTCTAGTTCCCTGGTAAGGTACCCGACTTTATTTATTTTTTTAAAATATATTTCATTGATATTTTACAGAGAGAAAGGGAGAGGGATAGAGAGCTAGAAGCATCGATGAGAGAGAAACATTGATCAGCTGCCTCCTGCACACTCCCTACTGGGATGTGCCCACAACCAAGGTACATGCCCTTAACCGAAATTGAACCTGGGACCCTTGAGTCCGCAGGCTGATGCTCTATCCACTGAGCCAACCCGGTTAGGGCCCAACTTTATTTTATTTTTATTTTTAAAAAATATATTTTATTGATTTTTTACAGAGAGGAAGGGAGAGGGATAGAGAGTTAGAAACATCGATGGGAGAGAAACATCGATCAGCTGCCTCCTGCATACCCCCCATTGGGGATGTGCCCGCAACCAAGTACATTCCCTTGACCGGAATCGAACCTGGGACCCTTCAGTCCACAGGCCGACGCTCTATCTACTGAGCCAAACCGGTTAGGGCCCGACTTTATTTTTTTATACAAGAAAAGTAGTGGAACATGTTGCTTTTAGTTTTACAAAATGTTTGAATTGTCTATACCAAAATTTTAATGATGACAAAAATAATAAAACTGTCTAGGTGTCAAATATTCACTTGGAATCAGTCATCTGTTTGTACTCTGATATTCATAATACAAGCTAGAACACACATATCTTTATTTTATTAAAGGGCACTGAAAATATTACTTGTAATTACTTTCCCTTTTAGGCTCATGATTGGAAAGGCCAAGGTGTAGACACTACACTGTGACATGCCTAATATACCTCTACAAGAAAGGAAAGGGGAGGAAGGACCAACGATGTTCAAAGACCCTTTACATGTGAAAGTATAACCTACATCAAAGATTAGTTGGGTTTGAAGTAGAAGCAAAGAGGAAGAGCAGGTCTCTTAATATTTAAGATCATATTAGAGTGACATCTGATTCCTAACTCAAGCTTGCACATATCTGGTTGCTCATTCCTGGTAAGGTACAGACAATCCTGGGGCATCCCTACTATGACTGGAAGAGTGATCTCTTGTCCTTGCCAGCTGGCTCCCAGCACGGGCTCATCACAAGGCAGCCCTGTAAACAGAACCCACTGTGGGAAGGGCCTGAACAGGGAGACCCAGCACCACAAATGCCACAGCGCTTCATGGAGGTGGAAACTGAGCCGTAAGGGACTGGGAATAAGCCTTAGCCAGCTCCACTTGTGGTTTCCGTAGAGGCTGAATATCACAGCAGGAAGAGCAATTTTCAGCAAGACAAAAACGTTACCACGGAGAAGAAGAAGAAGAACAGGAGGAGAAGGAGGAGGGAGGAAAAGAAAGATGGGGAGAAGGAAGAAGAGGAAAGAAGATAACTTTGGGGAAAGATAGTAAACACATTGTTTTCATGACTGCAAATCTAAATTTTATAGCTTTGGGGAGAATAATGCTCTCCTAGGATTGCTTTCCTTATTAACTGCAGTACGGGAAGCAGAAGAGGCAATTCTACTACCTAGTGGGCAGGATACACTATGAGTTTAACCTTGAATGAATCTCTAGCCCCAAATGACTGCCTGGAACAGCGTCTGAGTGGAAACTACAGTCTTGCAGCACATTGCTAAAATGAACATCATTATTGATTTAGTTGTTGCTTCGCTCCTGTTGAATGGGATCCAAGTGGCCTCTCCTGCTCTGTTCCCTCTTCCTTTCCCTCCAGCAGTGCTTGCCTGGCCCTTACCTGTGGTTTATGAAAGTGTGGCCTGCAGGAAAGGGCTCTTCAAGTTCAGTTACAAATACTTTAGTCCATGCTCTAATGTTGTTTGATAATGTTTGATATGTTTGGGCCTGCATCGTAAAACTGGTCATAACCAGAACCTTCAAGTAGGTTTACTTCCTTCTCCCCCACCCTGTTTCCTAATAGATTTGTGACGATTGGACTCAGAGACATTTTGCTCTAAATGGGGATGGATCTGAAATCATGGAACCTGTGTTCTGTCAATCCCCAGTTGAGAGTTGGGACCCTTGCTATCCTGAACAGGTAGAGCTTTGAATGGAAAATTTAATTAGGGAAGGGTAGTGGTTGCGGTCCAGTATGTATCTGGGGATTGGGGGTCAAGTAGAATTGAGGGAGAGGAGGACGAATTTTGTGATAGGGGAGTACACTGATGTGAAGGACAATTTTCATCTGTTCATTATTTTTCTCTAGGAGTTGTTTTGCCAGAAAAGCTACTCTGAATAAATAAAAAATCAGATACTTGACTTTGGTGATAAGACTTTGTAGCCTCTGAGGCAAAGAGCCCACTCTCCTGGCCCTTAGCATCTGCTCCACCATGAGTCAGTGGCACTTAAATAGAACCTCATCAGGCGGAGCTAACTGCAAAGGGACAGTGTCACCCTTCCTGCCCCAACAGGCTGCATGCACTCAACAGATACGTGCTATAAGGGTGTGAGTGGGGGAGAAAAAAAGCATATAATAAATTCTAGGTTTTTCAATGCATTGACAATGTACTGATTTCAACAAGTTTGGGAGCTTGAAGTTTACTCAAACATTGAGTTCTGAGACCATTGCTCCGTGGATTAAAAGTCAAGAGTGTGCCCTGGCTGGTGTTAGAATGTCGGCCCATGCACCTAAAGGTTGAGGGTTCAATTTCCAGTCAAAGGGCATGTACCTAGGTTGCAGGTGCCCAGTTAGGGCACGTGCAGGAGGCAACCAGTTGATGTGTCTCTTTCAGCAATGTTTTTTTTTTTCTCTCTCTCTCTCTCTCTCTCTCTCTCTCTCTCTCTCTCTCTCTCTCTCTTCCCCTTCAACTCTCTTTGAAAAGCAATGGAAAAAATATCTTCTGGTGAGAGGAAAAAAAAATTTTTGAATATCAGTAGTGAAAAGAAAGTCTCCTGATTCTGTGTGTGTGCATACATGCAAACACAAACATTGAGACAAGTGTTGGCTCAGAGAGGCTTTTGGTGGTGTGTCGGTCTGACCCCTGCCACCCACCTCGCTTATCTCGTCCCTCGTGGCACAGTACTGCAAGCTGCCGGCCAGGGTCCGCCCATACTCCTGGGCTCGGGCTCGCCAGTTCACGCTCTCCCCCTCAAGGATGTCCAGCTGCCGCTGCAGGTTCTTTGCAAACACATTAGTGCAGCTCTGAAAGCGAAAGAGAAATGGCAATGGCAAAGGGAACAGGCAAAGCAGCAGGGAGACAAGTAGGCTATTTACCTGCATTATGAAACTCATGAGTGACATTTTAAAAAACAGGCTCCTGAAATACCCTCAGCTCCTTGAATATAAGGATTTCAGAAAGAAGCCAGACACCCAACATGGTGGGAAAGGTGAACCGTTAAACTTCCAGTCTTAAAACTTCAGTTTTGAAGTCTGCTCATCATACCAGCTCCTCAGAGACACCACTCATTACAAGGTGTAATTTTTACCTCAAAAGGCAGAAAGCAAGCATTAGAAACATTTGGCTTCTGTGCAGTAATTTTCCTGTCAACTGGAGCTTCAACTCCGGTTCATTATGCAAGTGCTCCCTCCAATCTCCACTCAGCAGAGGGCTGCCAGGGCCAAGGCCAGATGTGACTGGAGAACAATTGCATTATTTGTGCAAAGTGAGGAGTCTTACTTCTTTCTTTTTAAAGTAAATTTACTAATAAAATAAAACTATTTTTTAAAAAAAGCCCCTTCTTGGTAAAAATAGATTCCATTAACAGATATTTTTATTCCTAGATCTTTCAATTAAAAAAATACTTTAGGTTCAGTGCATTCCATAGAGTTTAGTGGATACTTAAATTAACTTTAAAATAAAATTGGCCATTATTTTGATTAATATTCTACAGAATAAACATAACCTTCTTTCCCTTAAATTGGGAGTTTAGAGGACATATATATTTTTTTAAGTTCAAATATACATATATTTTGCATCAGAGCCCAATGTGCTGTTTATGAAAATTTGGTCTGGAATGATTTCCTTGTCTTTAGACACCTCGGTAAGGTACACCCATCCTGTGGAATCAAGCAGTTCAACGGTAAAGCCCAGAGCCCTTGGTCTCCACCAGGGGGCTCTTACATGATGAGCTTTTATGGCTAAAGCAGGTTCATCATTTACAAAGTGGGGGTCCCGGGCCAGGTGATCTCTAGGATACCTTCCAGATCTGCAATGCTAAGGCAGCATATTGCCCCAGAAATAAAACAGGAGCCACATGAATAATTTTAAATTTTCTAGTAGTCATATTAAAAAGTAAAAAAAAAAAAGGTGGAATTAATATTCATAATAGAGTTTAATCAACTAAATCCAAATGTTAACATTTTACCACACAACCAAATATAAATATATTAATAAGGTTTTTTGATACTAAGTGCTTGAAATCTGGTATGCACTTCACACTCACAGCACATCTCAATTTTTGCTACATTTCTATCAGAAATATTTCATCTGTAATTAAATTTCATAGTTTCTAGTTTAAAATGGGAATATCCAAGTTGTTCCCAAGATATTTAAAAGTCTTCCAATAACTACATTGTTAACTTCTAAAATAAAATTAAAAGTTTAGTTCCTTAGTTGCACTGAGCACATTTCAAATGCAAAAAAATTAACTGCTGTATTAGAAAACACATTTTTAATTAGCATGAGAATAGATGTATTAAACAAGACTTTTATAATCAGATTTTTCCTCTTAAAATGTTTTTCTTTTGTTATAGATGCTAGAAACTCACCACCGATAATTGCCCCGTGCTTTAATGCATTTTTAAATGTAGCATACACCAGGCAGTCTGCCTGGCTTCCCCCCTGTGACACCCCAGCTATCATTAGCGATGAGCGATGGTGTCTGAAGTGGCTTACAGGCCGCTGCGCTGATGAGATGATGTCCACTCCCAGGCAAAGGGCCAGTTTGTGGAGCTGGTCTATATGTGCCTGCTTTTCCTGAGAGCGACGGAGGCGAACCTGGGCATCGCGAGCATTATCCAGTTCCGTTGGCTGCTCTAGAAACTCCAATTCTCTTGATTTGAGGAGATGTTCAAGCTGGAATACAGAGCATTTACAATTAACTTGTGTTTCATTTTTATGGAGACAGATTTTTTAAAGCCTATTTCCTATTACATATTTTCCTAGCTGGTCAAATGCTGCCAAGTCCATCTATAATTATTAGTGCTATAACCAAATAAGAGTTACAATGCTGCAAATCTATAAGGTAAAGCTGAGGGGCTAATGTCATTCCTATTAAAGAAGAAAACACTCTTTTTTTGGTCATAGTCTAAAACCTTAGGAACATCTAGGTCTATGATCTGAGTAAATTCAGAGGCTGTTTTAAAGAGATATCAATATATCTCTTTTTCTGTTAATAAAGGCTATTAACACTTTGCAGACCAGTAGTTTTATTGCTAGCTTTACCCAGTGGCCAGATAAGTTTCTATTGAGTGGTACAAAAAATGTTTTACATAATGTTAAAGGCACACTTTAAAATTAAATACCCATTGCATTTTGAAGTTATTTATTATATGTTCTTACAAGCTAATATCTTTTTAAAGTATGATGCTTTGTAAAACACTGTGTACTATGAAGCGAGAATTCTCGTGATCCGTCCACAGTGAATTTTACTGCGTACTCTATGATGTCAGGTACCTGAGATACAAAAAATAAAAAATAAGTCTAATTTGTTTTCTTCCCTCAAAGAGCTTACACTTGAGTTTGGGTTAAAAAATTATTAAAAATCAAGATGCTATAATGACAGATAAGTGGAGTAACTAATGAGAGTTCTAGAAATTTAGAAGAGAGGAAAGTCAGTCCAAGCAAGGTAAGATCATTGGAAGGAGGGGCAGGGTTTAGAGAGTCGAGGAGAGAGAAGAATGCCTGTCAGATAATGGCAGCCTGGGAGTCAAAGAGTTGGAGACGTGTGCACTGTCTTTGAGGGACAGAGAGGAGCTGTTTGGCTGAAACATAAGGGAGGATAGAAGTATAGTGAGAGAAACCTTGGAGGCCCGATTTGGAAAGCTGCTAATATCAGAGTAAGCAATGTGGCTTTTACTTACATAATAATTTATATTTCCTTTTAGAACGGAGGGTCTTGCAGACATCTATGACAAGTCTCACCTCTTCCTTGACTTGGTGGAACTGGACTGTCTTGTACAGGATGTCCTCATAGTCCTGGATCCTCTCTTTCTGTTTTTGATGGAGTTGAATGAGGTCCTTCAGCTGTTGGTACTTCTCTTTCACAGGGGCTCCTTTGCCATTTAACTCCTCTGATTCTTTTATAATGTATTGAACCTCATCATTCAGTTGCTAAAATGTTGGCAGCCATAAAAGAAATCCAGCTTTCAGAGAGCTCTTTACTTAATAATGGACTATATGAAGATCTAAATAACCAACCATTCTCTCGTTTGTTAACAAAAACTTATCGTGAGCCTCACCCCCACCGCTGCAAATTCCGGTATTGTGTTTGATGCTAGAGGTATATTATTCCATCCCTATCTTCTCAGATTTTTTTTTAATTGTGAGCAATGAAAAAAAAAGTATATCAAAGTTAGGTGATGAAATGAAAAGTCATGTGTTTCTATAGCTCACCAAATATTCTAGTTATCTGCTAAGTAAATGTGTTTCAGATATATTTTTAAACATATTTTCATTCATTTCAGAGAGGAATGGAGAGAGAGAGATAGAAACATCAATGATGAGAGAGAATCATTGGTCGGCTGCCTCCTTCATGCCCCAATTGGGGATTGAGCCTGCAACCCGGGCATGTGCCCTTGACCAGAATCGAACCTGGGACCCCTCTGTCCACAAGCCGACACTCTATCCATTGAGACAAACCAGCCAGGGCCAGATATTTTATGAAGCCATGAGCATCTCTGATATTTAGAATCAGGTGGTTTGGTAAGAACACCAAAAGAAGAGAAGTATAAAAATATTTTAGGGGAATTGCTTGTCCTCGTGATAAAAGCATGATCGGAATGAACCACAGCTGAGTAGCACAGTAGATATGCTGCTTCAAAAGTGGCCACCCTGAATCCACAAATAGCCACCTCGATTAGGGAGGGGTAAACTGCCTTCCCTTTTACTCAGCATTACTCATACATCCCTCATAGAGTTCCAGATCCTGGGGTAGAATTTGCGAAGCGTGGACAACTCAGAGAGGAAGCTACTATAATTTTGGATCTTACAGCAAAGATAAAAATAATGGAAATGATTTAGGCTAAGGAAATACTTTGCAGAAGAGTGACCTAATAAGGGTCTTCAAGTTTAAATCAAGCAGGTGGGCATCAAATAATATGCATATCACAGAGACAGAGCTAAAGAAGCTAGACATAGCTAATGTAGAGGAGTTCGCACACACACACACTCTTGCATGTGCAGGACATGTGCACACAAGCACACACAAAATGCAAAGAAGCATACAACCCAGGGCACATCAATAAACCTCACATATAGGCTAATTGGATTTTCTAAGAGTCACTGTGGGCTACAATGTTTTGTGTATGTGGGTGGGGGTTGATTATATACTATATAGGTTTGTTGGAAATGAATGTAAATTAGATATTTTGTAAAAGAATCTTCAATCTTCTAAATCTGGGATTCTTTATAGCCAACACAAAGTTGTGACAAACAGAAACACGGGTATCTTAACTTTGCAGCAAAGAACAGGAACCCAGTCAGGAGGATTACATGACTGGTGACCATTTTTGGCAGTTGTGTTGAGTTTAGGAGTGGCAGCAGGTGGGGGTATGGAATGCATCAGCAGTCAGGGTCTGGGAGCATGGCTCGTGGTTTTCTCTCTCACATCCTGAGGGCTCTCTGAGAGGGAAAATAGGTGAGCGCAGCAAAATTCCTGGGAAGGTGGTAGGAGCCTGGGGTGCCAGAGAGTGGAAACAGTGACATCACTTCGGACATTTCAGGGGCAGAGGGCAGCTTAGCCTCTGTGTCAGAGGCTGCTCATCCTTGTTCTGAGATGACTTGATCTAAAACATGGCTATCCCCCTTAGAAAATGACTGCAGTGCATATATGTATGATCAATACATTAATAAGAAAATAATTTAATGTAAATTATAATAATCTAAGATAATTACCTTTAGGACATTTTACAGCCCAAATATTTGTGTATCATCAGATACAGAATAGTGAGAAAAGAAAACATAGTAAAAAAAAAGTGTGTTTTTAAGTGGATTTTTAGACAAGCAATGCTTTAAAAAAAAGTCATTCATCAGTCTGTTAAAATTAATTAGGTAAACTGCAATCGAATGGTTAAAAAAAGGTTTTCCATTCACCCAAGTCTATCAGTTGGTTGCTTTACCTGGAACTGAGGCTGCATTGCCTTCCAGTTTTTCCTTAGACCTAAAATGGTCTGGAGGCTCCCTCCAAGGTCAAGTGCAGACACAGGCATGAGTGCTTCCTGAAGAAGTTTTAAGTTGTGAGTAGTCTGAAATAAACATGGGATGGGTAAGCATTTGTTTTCTTTGCCACCATCAGCAAATACATTACGATCATTCTGGTGATGACATGCTGTGGCATCAAACTTTTCAACCCCATGAAAACACTCATGACCTCGAGTGAGCTCCTGGTTCTAAACCACATTAATGAAGAAAAGCATAGGCCCTCGGTTTCCCTTCCCTCTTTTCGTTTTATTGTGGTAAAATATACATAACGCAGTTGAACATTTTAACCATTTCTAAGTGTGCAGTTCGGTGGCATTCACATTCACATGGGTGTGCAATCACCACCGTCCATCTCCAGAACTTCTTCATCATCCCTAACGCAGCTCTGTACCCATTAACCACTAACTCCCATTCCCACCCTCATCTCAGCCCCTGGTGACTTCTAGTCTGAGTTTGACTACTCCAGATACTTCACATAAGAGGAATCATATCATATTCATCCCTTTGTATCTGACTTATTTCACTTAACATAATGTTTTCAAGCTTCCTCCACTCTGTACCATGTGCCAGGATTTCATTTCTTTTTAAGACTGAATGTCCCCACTGCGTGTTCCTCACCTTTCTCAGTTGCTCTTTGAACGCTCCCCACTGCTGCTTCACAGGCTGGCTCGCGGAGGCTGTGAGTCGCCATGCCATCCGAAGGCGGCCGAGTTCTTCCCTTTCTGCCTTCAGACTTTCCATAGCGTTCTCCATAATGTGCACTTTATTTTTCACATTTAATATTTCATTCTCTTTTGCCTGTTAAATTAATAATCCATATAATGGCTTTTCTTTCCCAAGAAATACAACATTTTTTCATATACCTACTCTAGGAGGCAAACATGATCACAACCAAAGCAGAGCACGGACGGTTCTAATAGCAAGAGAAGACAGGAGCGCGCCTGCTCAGGGGCATGGCTAGGCTCTCAGAACCCATGTTCCCCGCTTGCGCACCAGGTACTGAGTTCTCCAAGCACCCAGTGGTGCTGGAGTCACCTGCTAGAGTCTATTTCCTGGGGCTCAAGGGGGTGACTGAATGAGCTCCTGGATACAGAAATATTAAAGTGAAGATTACTTTAATGCATACTTTTTAAAGTGTATTCTACCTTTCATTTTAACACACTCAATAGCAGATGTCACAACCTCAGTATTAGGGAATAGGAGGGGCAAATTGCTCTAGGCCATCTTTTCTTAAATGACTCCATTGTATATATTACAAGGATTTTAAGTTTCCCAGTTCCTCAAGTTACTCCCTTTTGTAAGATCTGAAATGTGCATCTGTATCTTCATTTTTGTATGTCTATTGTGCAACCAGAAGCACAGTATCTAAGTTTAAAGATTCCCTTTCCAGCTGTTCTGGCTGACTGATTTGAAATCCTTTAAACAATGGTTTTAAACAAGGGGAAATTTAATTGGAGGAAGAAAGATAAGAGAGGCAAAGAGTAAGATCATATGCTATTTTACGCACAAACATCGAAAAATGCAGAAGAATAATTGGCAAAACCATGATTTTTACTTTGATGACCAGCTGTTCTCAATAAATCCTTGACTTTCTAAGGAGCAAATGTATATGGATTTCTACAATGACAATGACAACTAAGTATCTAAAAGTCAAGGGACCTCTTAGATTGTAGTCAGAAGATGGTGTCATAAAACTGTAACAGGATATTTTAAAATAATAAACCATCTTATTTTTTTTAATATATTTTATTGATTTTTTACAGAGAGGAAGGGAAAGAGATAGAGAGTTAGAAACATCGATGAGAGAGAAACATCGATCAGCTGCCTCCTGCACACCCCCCACTGGGGATGTGCCTGCAACCCAGGTACATGCCCTTGACTGGAATCGAACCTGGGACCTTTCAGTCCGCAGGCCGACGCTCTATCCACTGAGCCAAACCGGTTTCGGCAACCATCTTATTTTTAAATTAATTTAAACAGCATTAATATTGCATATTTATATTCCTATATTAATTTAGACATTATAAAAAGCCAATTAATTGCAAAAAAAGATAATTGCAGGTCCTAAAGAGATTTTTGCCCATGAATTTGGGGATCTAGGAATCAAATGATACATTCTTTAATTATGATTAACAAGATGCTAAATATTATGAAAGATATTTGATAACTTCAGCTGGATCCAGCCCAAATCATAATTTTAATCTATGCTATAAGTAAAGTTAGGGTATCTTTCACCTACTATTAAGAAACTACTAATCAAAATGTAATGTAATACACAGTTTAATGTAAATGTGGACCTTGCAGCGTGCCAATGTCAGCTATCCCGCAGCAGGGAGTGATGGTCTGAGTGAGGTCTGGAAAAGGGAGAGATATAGCAGCATTTGTTGATGTCTGGCTGGCAGGATCCAAAAACAGTGATTATGTACTTGGCAGACTTAAGTGTTTTGACCTCTCAGGAAGATTAATCTACCGGAGGTCTAGTTAGTAAACACACTATTCATTCTACTTCTGTGGAAGGGCATGGAAAACTTTGCCATAACCTAGCCCAACAGGGCACTCAATTCTCAATTTTCCATCTACATGCAGGCACAATAAATGTCTTCTGATATCTTGCTCTTTAGATACCTTGATAACAGGAAGGCTGTACCCCAAATAACATCTTGGTGTTCACCATTATGAATTTGTAAATTGGCACTTTTATCAAGATGTCTGCCAGATTTCTCACTTAAATCGGCTTCTCTAATCTTGATGATTTTTAGATGAACTGAAAATTTTTCAATTTCAAGCTTGAAAATATGAGCCACGGCAACCCAATCAAGAGCGTAACACTTGGCGGAAAATGCCAGCTGGCATTCTCCCCTCTTAACAGCCAAACTGGTCACCACATTTCAACAATAATGTTTGTTTAAAAGCTTAATGCTCCAAAAGACATGAGAATAAAAAAATGTGTTTCACTTTCTTTACCAACAATTCCCTACCTCAGAATGATGCTGAACTATTATGTGGACCATAATGAAGTTAACTATTATGTAGGCCATAATTCTTATCAATAAGGAGGAACGTATTTTATCATATGACAGTGGTAAGGAGCTTAGGGTAAAGGATTCATTTTTTTACATAACACCTGACATTTGATACATTTTTACTAGTCCTACCAAGACAGGACTACATAACTGGAAAGCAAGAGAAAAAGTAGACAACTCCAGATCCAGATATAGTAATTAGCTGACACACACTCCAGACAACTCCAGATCCAGATATAGTAATTAGCTGACACACACTTTAAATGCCCATGATTAATATAGTTAAAAAAGTGTCCAACTGGTGTTGCTCAGTGGTTGAGCGTCAACCTATGAATCAGGGGGTCACTGTTCAATTCCAGGTCAGGGTACATAGCCCCAGGTTTCGTGATCAATCATCATTGATCAATCCCCACTAGCGGGTGTGCAGGAGGCAGCTGATCAATGATTATCTCTTATCATTGAAGTTTCTGTCTCTCTCTCCCTCTCCCTTCCCCTCTGAAATCAAATATGTGTGTGTGTGTGTGTGTGTGTGTGTGTGTGTGTGTGTGTATAAAGTATACCAAAGTTGGAGCATAAGAATGAGAAGATAGGAAAGATAATTTAATCAGCAATTGAAATCTAACAGAGACAGAGAGAGAGAGAGAGAGAGAGAGAGAGAGAGAGAGAGAGAGAGAAGAGAGAAGAAAGACGAAAGACTCATGGACACAGACAACAGTATAGTGATTGCAAGAGGGAAGTTGGGGAGGTAGAAGAAGGTAATGGGGGATAAATGGTGACTTGGCTTGAGGTGGTAAACACAATACAATATAAAGATGATGTATTGTAGAATTGCATACCTGAAACCTGTATAATTTTATTAACTAATGTCACCCAATAAATTCAATTTAAAACAAATCAAATGGAAACTACAGAACTAAGAAGTAAAATTTCTGAAATGAAGTTAGTAATAATTAAGCAAAAAATACAATTTGCAAATATTTGAATTCTCTTAAGAGTGCAAATTAGAGAAGTACACAATCAAGAGATGGAAGAATATATACTGAACAAAGTAAAAATGTAAAAGATAAATAAATGGTAGGTAGATGGATAGATAATAGTTGTTCTAAATATTCCAAATGAAAAATAACAATTACTTTTACAAAAAGCACCTGGATAACATAAGAACATGGGCAAATTGCTTAGCAAGTTTCCTCTGATGTTTAAAGATAGTATAAGATATGTTAGAACTGTTTCCTGTATATTTTGTTTCCACACAAATTGAATAAGAATGGCTTTCAAACAACAAAGGTTGAAACAAAGAAGATAATGTCATTCTCACATGATTTTTAAATTAAGGAACTCAAGCCTTAGGTCTTGAACTAAAAAACAAAGAAGAGAAAGAGAACATTGCAGTTGAAAGTAGATGAGGGTAGTTAGATAAAACCTAACTCTTCCAAATGAATTCAGGCTCCAGACTGAGATTAATCACATTCCAGAGTACTGAGAAAATTGTGGATGTCAGTTATCTTTGCAAGTCTACAGAAAATAGGAGAAGGGCCAGACAATTAGGGAGAGAAAAATGTCTTGATTTTCAAAGGGGGAAAGACTGGGCTACATAGTTTACAGATTGGAAAGCTTTACAGTGAAAACCATGCAATAAGTTCATCACTGATCAAGCAGCTTGTGAGCACTTTGGAAAGAATCTCTTGGTCACTATGAGCCAACCTGATTTCTGCCAAATTATTTTCATGCAATTGATAGGATGTTAGGGAGATATAGAATTAAACCCAGGAAAGTTGGCTAATGTAGTAGATAGCAGATGCAAAATTAGTTTGACAAGATGGAATCATGGGTAAAGATGAACAAGATGACGTTGAATAGAAATAAATATAAAGACCCACATTTGTATGTAAAAGATAAATACCTGACACAGATATAAAATGGGAGAGACCTAGCTTGGCAGGAATTGTAATAAAAATTCCTGCAACTTTTATTCAATCACAGGCTTAATATGAACCAGCATAGTGAAATCATGGCTAAAAATGAATGCATAACCTTAAGTCTCATTAGTAAAGAATGATGTACACTTTGTTGTACTCTGTGTTAAAGTTGTACTTTACTTTTGGGTCATATTTTATGAATGACTTTAACAAATCATAAAAATTTGGGGGAGGGAGGATTAGGATGGAGAGAGAAATGAAGCTGCCTCATAAATGACAGGAAGGATTTGCATGTGGTTTGCTGCAGAAAGGACTCAGATTAGATATAGCAATTATTTTCAATGTTTGAAGGACTTTCACATGTAAGAGAAATCAAATATGCATAGTCTCTCCCTACCTCGTGTAACTACAGAGGGTTAGAACCAGGTATGAAGTCAGATTTGACTTAACATTTAAAAAAAATGTTTTCTAGCAGCTCTTATTTTCTAACAATGCAATGAGCAGTTTCATTAGGAAGATACTTGAAGGAGAAGTGGCTTAACCATCTTTTAAGAATTCTGTAGAGAACTTTATATGGGTCAGAGGTTGATAAAAGGATTCTAGAGTATTTTGCAGACATAAGTGGACAACTAAAGTTTAGGATACATTTGTAAATATGATGGAGCTTCACTATAGAAAGATACGCTATAGTAAGAAATTCTTCAAAATGAAGATTCAGCCTAGATGTTGACGTGAGCCACTGGAAATTTTGTCAGGACTTTGTTGCAGGCTCTCAACATCACTTAGAACTCTAGGGTGCACTTCTATGTAAATAATAAAAATGTTGCATTTGGATTATAGTCAATCTTTCTTCTAGATAGTTAAAACTTGTGAGAAGTGTAGGACTAAATAAACACAGACATGCTAGGCTTTGGCACTGCTCTAGGTTGAATGAAGCTAAGAACTTTCTAAACCCACACTGCTGAGGGATAGTTGAAGTTTTGAACTTATGATTTTGACTTTGACAAGTAACCCTTGCAGAAGGTGTGACTCGCATAATGTTATTCTCACCATATTTATCAAATTAAGGAACTCAAGCCCTAGGTCTTGAACTAAAAAACTCCTTTTTAAAAAGAGCTGCCACTGCTTCTCGGCTGAGTCAGACCAGTGCTTGGCTTCCGCGGTATCCTCTTCCTTCCTCGGGCTTTCCATTTGGTAAAACTCCTTCAGGCTCTCACACTGCTCCGCTACCTAAGAGAGAGAGAAAGAGAGGATATAAATGCAAGATAAGAACACTTGCACACATTTTTAAGAAAATGACACAGATTCCGATAAAAGCCTATGTAAAAATTAAATGGAAACTACATTTCAGAATTTTTTTTTCAGAGAAAGGAAGGGAGAGAGAAAGGGATGGTGGGAGAGAGAGAAAAACATCAATGTGAGAGAAACATCAGCCAGTTGCCAATCTTACATGCCCCAGCTGATAACTGAATCTCCAACTAAGGTATGTCCCCTGACTGGGAATCAAACCCACGTGACCTTTTGGTGTACAGGATGACGTTCCACTCAACTGAGCCACAGTGGCCAGGGCCAGGATTCTTTAAATAACTTAACTATTGTCAATTTATTAAAATGATATGAAAATCTATCTAAGTTGTTTACAGACTGGACTCTACTGGGTAGTAAATTGAACTAACAAGTTTATTATCTATCAGACCTACTTACTATGACCCAAATCATATTTATGTATTTTGTATAATGTATGTTTTGCAATTGGGGACAATTTATGTCAAATACTGGTGTGATAATATTTAAAGCTGAGTTTTATAATTCAGAAGAAAGCCAGACAAGAAATAAATATATCAGTGAAATATTAGTAACTCACTATTTGCTTTGAATCAGTGATAAACCTGAATGAGAATACAATTACTAATTTTCAGTACAAATATTAATATTCAACTGCTTCCATGAGCTAATCTTATCAAGTATATTACTTGATCTCCTTAGAATTACACTTTTTTTCTTTGCTAACCAATGTATGCAGTACTGAATTATTTTCAATCACTCTCTTTGAAGAGGGAGCTTATATAAAATCAAATGTGCCTATAGAATTAAAGATGAACATGTAATTGGCTGATATAGAAATAGTGGAAAAGTTTGACACATGTTTTTATGCATTTTGAACAATACTGAATGGTCAATAGGACAAGACTCAAAGAGCTTGTAACTACCCAAATCAATCTAGACAGGGTGAGAAACTTCAGGTGATGGCTAGTCACTGTATTTTAAAAATTTTAACAACATTCTTAATTTAAATGAACTTAATAAGAGAGCCTGCAAATGGCCTCACAAACTGAAGTGCTCTACACATTTCCCATGTTCTATTTATTCATGACCCTGTTTTGCTGATGCTTGTCTCCTCAGCCCAGAATGATCTTTTCTCAGTTTTGTGCTCCTACACACCCTTCATGAGCTAGTTGAATTGCTACCTCCTCCAAGGAGTCTGTCCAACTAAGAATTAGCATTGATTTCCTTGGATTCCCAAAGATAGTTCTGGAAGAAAGATAACCAAAAGCAAGTTATTACAACACAAGGACAATATACACACAATATTATGGGCATAGTAAGGAGGGGCCATTTTTGAATTATTGGTGAACTGAAACCATAGGTGGGTGGGGGTGTAATTTTCATAGGAAAACAATGTTCAAGAGAGAGCACAGGCAAGGACTCTGCGACCCTCCATACTTCAGGTACAGGGAACCAAATTAGGAAAAAGAAGGAACAGATAAAGAAGCAGACAGAGTGATTCCACTTATGTGAAGTATCCAAATAAGGCAAGTCTGTAGAGATAGAAAGCAGATCAGTCCTTGCCCGAGGCTGGGAGTGGAAATAAAGATTGACTAAAAAGTGCACTGGGGCTACTTTTGGGGTGATGGAACTATACTAAAACTAGAATGCAGTGACTGTTGCACAACTCAATAAATATAATAAAAATCATTGTACTCCAAAATAGATGAATTGTATGCTATGTAAATTATACTTAAATAAATCTGGGGGAGGGAGTTTAAGCCAAAGGAGGTAAGAATAACAGGATTAAATAAATGTGGTAGAGAGATTAAGCAGGATGAAGACTGAAAATAGAGATTTCATTTATCAATCAGTAAGTAACTTATAAGGACATTTTCAATGAAGAGGTAGCAGATGGCTAGATTAAATTGCTGTGGGATGAGGACTGGGGAGGATGAGCAAGTAGAGACAAGAAATGTCATCTTCCCATTGTCAAGTCCAGATGTAAAGGGAAGGAAAGTATAGAGTGGTTGCTTTCATGACCATTTGGGCATAACTGTAGACCAAAGGCAAGGAAGTAATGGAAAAAGCCAATTTCAAACATTAGAGGAGGTTAGTAGAGCTAGATTCTGAAGGATGTGGGAACATACAGGGAGGGATTAATTTTTTCTCAGTGCTGGACAGAAGTAGGGACTTGACTTTATTGGCCACAGTGGAAGAGGGGTGAGTAAATCAATTGGTTTGGAAGTCCAAGGAAGTCAAGGCAGTTAAGCTCAATGGACTCTTTTTTGTTGTTGTTACATATGAAGTAAGGGCACCAGATGAGATTTAAGTATGGAAACTGGGGTAAGATGTTTGAAAATTGCTACTAAATGGATGCCAATAGGGAGCATATGGGAGCCCAGCTGAGGCAGAGACCCATAAAATTGTAACAGCGCCAATCAGCACAATTGTATGATTTTCTGCAGGAGTGTCTGGAAGCTTGGAAAGAAAAGTTGAGTAAACAGAGTGTTGGATTGATCTAGTATTGGGAATTGGCAGGGTTCGTCAGGGTGGAAGGCAGGAAGTTGAGGGCATGGAGAATGGAATGCAAATGAGTAACCATGAGCTGGTGAGGAAAGAAGGAAACCTGAGGGGGAAGGAGAGTGACAGAGTCAGAGCACTGCCAAGATTAGGACAGAAGGCTCTCCAGCTAGGAAAATCAATGAAGTGAAAGCTGGGAAGAGGAAAGAACATAGGTTCATCTGAGAAGGTGGTGTTTGCAAAGCTAAGGTTTCAGCCCTAAACCCACAGATACAGGGGCCAGAGTAGGTCATGGAAGTAGAAACTGAACCAGAAATCAAGGAGGTATGTTTTTGGCAATAAAGATTCAGAAAACAAACACTTCTCTGTACCTTTCCCACCATGGGTTAGAAGATGACTTATTTTTAAATGATTTTGTGCTATATTTAGGATAGTATAAGTATGTATGGGCCAAAGTAAAAAGTATTCTAACACAACCACTTTGCTTATTTGTATGTATATCTACACAAACATACTTGTATTGTGTTTTAGTAAAACGACTTACTGCTTTATTTTTATATGGTGCCTTGATGAATCAAGGGCCTATCAGTGAGTACATGCACTGGGGTGGACTATATGGAACAACCCACCAGGGTTCCCATCCCCATAGGATGTAGGAAGATGGCAGGGGCCACCTTGTTGATAACGGAGAGCACACAGGTACTGTACCTCCTCTGATGACTTTAGAAATGCCACATAGGTCTGCAGGACTTGGGACCTGGAGCCGATGCTTTGGCCAAGTATGTTTAATTCTTCCTCTAGCCATTTAGCTTTAGAAGAAAGTGATGCCACTTCCTCAGGTTCAAATTCATTTTTCTCTGTCATAAGTTTTGTGGCTGCTTCTAATTCATGTGATGCTTCCTATGAAAGCAAAGCACAGAGGGTCAGAAGCTGACAGGGGAATCATGAACATTCACATTTCATTACCTTCTGCACATCCATCTATAACGGTTATTAATTGAACTTGTAACCAAGATGCTCCTCAATAAAAGGAAGGCACAACTTTCCAAAATTAAAAAAAAAAGGTGTCTTAAAATAAAAACCACCTCAAAGTATTCTTTCAGTCTATCAGCTACACTTCTTATTTAGAGCATTCTAAATTCTGTTACAAATAGAAGAAAAGTTGTTAGGTATGAAAAGTGGTAAAACAAAATGGCAAAAACATTTTAAATAATTTAAATAAAATAAGTATAGACCAGAATTGTTTTTGAAATTAACAATAAGCTCTAGCAAATTCTTAAGTTAATTTTGTTATATACAAAATGACAAGTTTATAGAAATTGTTTACTCATTTTTAAATTTATAAAAATGAAATCGATTACACAGTCTTGTTTGAATTGCTATCTAGAAGGATTTTTAAACAAGTGTAGGGAAATATTAGATATGGGGTCCAAAAAGCCTAAAGAATCAGTGAATTTGACTTGCTTAGGGTCACTCTTCTGTGTTTTATTTTGAGTGCAATTTGTGGCATGTGGGATCTAACTACTGATGAAATAAATGAGTAAGTATTGTAGGCATTACAGATACAATTGCCATAGAAAGCCATATAAGATTTCATGTGATATCACGCTAGGAACCAAGCAAAAATGAAAGAAAAAGCTTCATCCTCATTTGCAGCAAGAAGGGGTGGCTTCCCCACTTGTGTTTAATATGCTTCCCAAGTACTCCACTGAACGATGGTAATTTTAATATACGAGTGCTGCTTCCAGAAGGCACTCGGGGAAGGAAGGAGCAGGGGGGAGTTTCTTCCATGTGGTTTCTTCCTTAATTCTAACAATTTTGGAATATAAGTGTGAATTCAGACATGCATTTTATTTTAAACATTCTAAATAATGAATTAGAAACACTTCATTTAACAAATGGGCGTGTCTGTGAGTGTTGGGTGCGGGTGCCTCTGTGAAGGAGCCTATGCTGCCGAGGACTGATGGGGAGGTACAGCCACCCCTGCTGACTTGGCGAGCCAGGGGCACACGTGACTCCCTTTCCTAAACACCTGGGGCAGGTCTGGAGCTACTAGCAGGAATATTTGAACCCAAGTCCCACGGGAAAGGGGTGAAGGGAGTTAGAGAAGGTGCTAGGAAGAGGAGGGCAATTTCTGTCTCCTAAGGCTTAGTGTGCAAACAAGATTTGCCTCCTGGAATCTTGTATTAACACGTGTCGCTTCTGGTAATTTTCTTTTGTAACTTACTCTAGTAGAAAATCACAAATAGTCTTATAAATGCACTCTCCCTGCCTCCTCTTGATCCCCAAAAGGAGTTTCTAACATTTTTCAGGCCAGGAAAAGGGGCTAAATGAGTGTTTAATACCAGGCTAGAATGCTGAGCTTCAGTGAGCTCAAACTCCCTACTAAGTGCATGTTTAAATGTAGATAATTCAGATACACTTCAGAGTAGGAGCTTTTAAGTCATTATTTACCACAATATTAATTTAGAATTGCAGCCCTCATGAGAACTAGGAGTAAGTTTTATAGCTACCAGATATAAAAAAATCATCTTTACAAAATCATAACCATGATAATGATTCTCATTGTATTTACCTTAGCTTGGATATCTAGTTCCAAATATTTACGCAAAATCTTCTCTGACTCAGAAAGGCTGGAACCGACATCCATGGCATTGGAAAGTACTAGACTGATTTCCTGAATTGACATTTCCACCTATAGGAAAAAAGAACACATTGTAGCCTTGGTAACATGTATTTGCATATGCATAGAGAAGGTAAATATTACTCTATATATTCCCATTATACTTTAATGTAAATCAACATTAAGCTAAAAATAGTTTTAAATATTTTAGAATTTCATATTTAAATTAGTAATGCTGCTCTTCATATGAGGTAATGCTGCTGACCCACCCATAGAGGGTGTATGTTTTAAAATATTTCATTATACTGGTAGCAATGAGATAAAAAGCAATCATCCATGCCCTTTAAGAATTTGTTATCTGTATTATCTAGACAGGATAATGTACTTGCCAACACATATGCAGAGATGAATGTATCTGGTTAATTAATTCACAAGCATCCACTATAAGTTGAATGGGGCCCAATTAACTGGCACATTTTGAGATAGAGGTCTAGAGCGTGGGTATTAGATCATCTTATGGGTTACTATTTTTAGGGCTAGGGGATCCTGAGGCAGCACCAAACCCTGTAAACATGAGAATAAAACAGGATCACACTTATGTGATTTAATTGATGAGTGTAAAGACTATACACATAAATAAATGAATAAAGTGACCTTTGAAGGTTCTATTCCCTTCAAGTCACTGCCTTCATCCGGGCTCTCACTAGAGCCCATACTTCCCAGATCAAATGGGCTCTGAACTGGCAGTAAGACAATAGCAACAGCTGTGTGAGCTCCTCGTGTTTTCCACCACCACCAAATTAGCTTGACTCTCAAGCTCTAGGGAATGTGGCTCCACAGCTGCCGCCGTATTTGGAATCTCCCTGGATCCCCGGCCTCAGAACCAGGCTCAAATTCCCAAGTTTCTGGACCAATAACAGGTGGGGTGACAATTTAAATAGAGACATGGTTAACTAATAACCTCTCCTGTGAAGTCTCCTAGTTCTACTTGTTTAAGTCGGGCATATAAATTCATTGTATTACATGAAAATATCATAAAAAATTTGAGACATTAATGTCATTGAGATATTACTAGTTTTTGCTATATATTCCACCGACAGGTAAGTAACTTTTTGTTTAGTCAAATAGTAGCTGCCTGGTTTCATTCCTCTTTGAAGATAGAAAATAAAATTCTCCCATACCAAGACATTCTATTCACTCTGCAAAAAGGATTTCCAAGTGTGTGCTTGTATTCAGAATGACCATGTCCATTGCACTGACCTAGTTCAATAAAATATGATAATGGCAATTTATTCCTGGAACCCCTACCACGCATCATTTTTGTTATGTGTTGAATGTCCTCATGTTCTATGGTTCCATGTTAAATTAAAATTTACACATATTGGAACCATGCAGAACCATGTAAATCAAGGACACCATCAAAATACGCACATGGTTAGAACTGCTTTTGTGTATACGTGTTCATGGCTGGGTGGCAAGTAGGGTTACATATATAGTTTTGGCACCCAGGGGCAGGGATGGATGATGAGCAGTGGTAAATGGCAACTCTATTCTGTTCAATTGTAAAACCTAACATGGCCTACGAGAGAAGCCTAAGGAGACATCCCCCTATTCTCCCTCAGGCCCACATGTACAATTACCAAACCATTTATTATCATCAAACAAGGGGTTCATCAAAATAGTATTTTAAGGAGGACATATTTTATGAAACTACCTTCCTCAGGTAGCCCTCCACTGAGACTGCTAATTGTTGTTTCTTGAGAGCAAATTCCTTGTGCGCTGAACACTGTCCGGTCAGATGATCCACTCGTCTCTGGATGCATCCCATCATCTCATGGACGCCGGTCACCCGGGAGCTGAGTGGAACAGGCAGCTGTTAGTTCATTCCACCCCCATCTAGAAGCCCCAGGGTCAGGGAACATTTGAAAGTAGATTTGCTCTTTCAGGAGAGGTACAAGTTGGTAAAAGTTATCCAGCTTCAGGCTTTAGGATAATCAAAGTTTAAGTAGTGATGGTCCTAGTACAGAAAAGAGCAAAACCAATTATGTTCCTTTGTTTAAGTCAGTCAGTCCTGAGGGAAAAGATGAGTTATGGGTTTTACAACCAGGTCTAATATTCTCTAAAGGGTTTACTTTTAATGTTTCTCTGAGAGATTGTATAAGGACCTTATGGCAAAAAGCACAGTGTGCTTGCCAAGACTTTTCCTGGGGGTGTTATTTTAAAGCTTCATTTATCTAAAGGAGCTCTTTGAATAGAAATGCAGATCAGTCAGTTAACAAAACATCTGCTAATCCAATAAGGTAAAATATTGATGTAACACTAAGGACCTTGTTCTCCACGATTATGAATGCTCAAGGCTGCGTTCATTAGAAGAAAACCAAGTTATCACCAACCATTAGGAATCTAATGTGCTTGTTCACACAAAAGAAACCCAGCCTCATGTCATTTCTCACCTGTGCTGGCCTCATGAGGAATAGGAAAGTGACATGAGAGCTCATAACATGAAAATGCCTTTAAAACAACACATGAACTTAGAGTTGGACCCCATTTGCTGGGTCTAAAGATAGATCAGCAAGTTTCCTCATCATTTCCAACGTTGGCCGGCCAGCAATGCAGGACAAGGAAAGAACACGGCTGATGGAATGAGCACTCTGTACCTTTTCAACCTATTCCTAAGACAGAGCCTCTCCTACTATGCAAGAAGTTGAAGTCTTTAATTTCCTGTCAGTCATTTCCTTCAAATACTAATAAAGATGAACATGATATCTCTTAAATTTAATTACCCAGAGTTAAAAAGATCTTGGAATGAGGTACAGATTTCAGAAGTTTTACCTCAAATAATTAATTTATGACTCTGTAAAAATGAATTTAATTAGTAATGAAATGAGGGCAAGAACTGAGAGGTAAAGCGGCATCACAGGAATGGCAATGAGGCTGCTGAAGAGGTAAGAGAATCCAATCCAATGAATATGAGATTCAAGTGCATAATGTGGGTGTCACTGAGTCCCAGAGAAGTTTAATTGGGGGATCTTATTCCTGACGCATAATGTTCCACAAATATTATACTTAAAACAATCAGTTTGTATGTTAATAACTCAAAGATAGTGAAGAGTATAATCAAGGAATTAGGAGAGTTTTAGAAATAATTCTTATGATATGTAAGTCCACAAAATCTGTAAAAGCAGGGTACTGGTAATGCTAATCATATTTTAACTAGGTTTTAGACTTTAGGCCATTATATGCCCAAAAAAAGCACTTAAAAGTCCAATTGTCCTCTGTCTTATAGGTTCCAAGTTTTCTATAGTATATTTAAATCTGGAATGAGAAAGATAAACAAAAAAGAAAAAGTGAATAAGCGCTATGAAAAGATTGTACAGAGAATAAAGTTTGTGAAATAAATGGGTAAACATTGGCAAGTCACCATTTTTAATGTTTTGAGCCGTCTCTTTTCTAATTCTCAGAACTACCCTCTGATCTGGGTACAACTGTCATCTCCATTTTGCAGATGAGCAAACTGAGGAACAGAAAAGCTCAGTAGCTTTCCCAGGTCACAATTAAGTGGCCAAGATGGGATTCGAACCTGCTTATCTGATTTCAGAGTCCACACCCTTTACCACTTCACAGTACCTTTTTGGGGGCTGTTACACATGATAGGAGGGTGAGGGTTTTCTTCCTTTCAAATTTCACTTTCCCTGATGTTGAGTGTTGATGGAAAGAGAGGCTGGCATGTTTTCTAGCTTCTCTTAGACTATCTGTAGTTTTCAAAGCAGCCACTAGAGGGGCACAGTACCAACACAGAGAAAGGAAACAGGGAAACAAAACAAAACCAAGAATTCCTTCCGTAAAAATAATGCTCTTTAGCAACTTACAATTTGAATTTTGATAAATCAAATAGGGTATCTCTCCCTCTATCTTTGGAAGAACTATCCATTCTTGATTTTTCAATGACCTAGGAGATTCGGTCTCATTATGTGGTGATTTGTGCCTTAACGGCTGTATTGTAAATTCTTTATAGGAAAGGACAGCATTCTTTTTCATTCACGTATCTCTGCAGCCCTGAGCACATAGCCTTGTAAGTAGTAGGTTAATAAATGTTTTGAAATGAAATAAAATACACTTTGATCAATATTTGAGGGAAGAGAAAACAGATTTAAGGAATAAGAACACATGCATAGTCACTGTATAAAAATGTCACTAATAGCCATTTCCAAACAATGACGACTTTGCCCTTTGCCCACTTACAGAAGCTTTAGGCTATCCGAAGACTGCCCAACTTCTTCCTTGTCGGTTTAGCATTTATAGTTATGTGGACTAGTACTTCCTTCCTTGATTTCAGGGATGAAGAATCTTTTTCTGCCAAGGGCCATTTGGATATTTATAACATCAATTGCGGGCCATACAAAATTATCAACTTAAAAAATTAGCCTTCTGTATTTGGGCAAACATTTAACTAATTCACCCCCAATGCCTTGTCAGGGCCAGACCAAATGATTTCGTGGGCCTTATTCAGCTCGTGGGCCGGACAGTCCTCACCCTTGTTATTGGAAGCCTTAAGGTCAGACTGAATTGCCTTGGTTCCCTGTGCATTACTGCCTGTCCACTGTGTGCGCTACTCTTACCTGGGGCTTAGACCTCTCCCTCAGTATGAGAAATTCCCCATTATCTTGCTTACCCTGGCCAGCTCCTGTTTTCTTCTTTACATCCTCAGCTAGATCATCTCCGTCTCTTCTGGCATCTCTTCCCTCTCCCTGAGTCCCAGCTGGAATATACTAGTATCTGTCACACTCCTAACCCCAGGGCCACCCCCGCCCTATGCCTTCTTAGTGAAAACCTAATCTGCAGGTTACAACCCGCCCCAATTCCATCATGTTTAGTTAGAAACTTTATACACTGATCCCACACTTTTCCTTTGAACATTCCAAACATTTTAAAACATGTATAGCAGGCACATCGGTGATGTTCTCAGAGCCTGTAAAGCAGATGGCTTCATCAAAGGGCAAATATGACCTCACTCTGCCAGCAATTCTTACATGAGCTGAAAATAAATGAATAGATTTCCACCAGTCACCAAGGAACAATCCTGTGAAATAAGTGATGGGATCAGAACTAAGAGCAAGTGACAGGAACTGTCACTTTGTTCTGATTTGGGAGCCACACTGCTCCTGTGCTGCCTCAGTGGGTGGGAGAGGGGCTGACAGCGGACTAGACGTCTAGGTCTAACGATCTATGGCTCTGTGATTTTGCTGGAAATACTGGCTGTTGTTTGAGCTTTCTCTATAAGAATGGAGTAGATGGTACTGTCTGTATGAATGTGGGGTTCATCAGATTATTCCTGATGTTGATTTTGACTTCTTCAAGCATCACAGATACTCAGAAATAACAGACTGAGGCTTTGGCAGACATTTATTAGAAACTCCATCATGGGAACTTTTTCTCCCTTGTTCATTGAGGCAGTAGAGGAGAGGGGAGAGGGAAGAAAAATGATTGATTTTTCCCACTAAAGAACAGAGACATATTGACTTCTGGCTCAAATAGACTATTCTATTTGCTGTATGGAAGCAGTTGCCCTGTCTTTGCATCTGTCACAAATAGGGATTGGGGGAGGGGAGCAAATCCCAATGTTAATGTGTTCTAATGACTCTTTCCGGAGGACAGCACGTTGCTTCTAAACCTTTCATAAATTACCATTGGCAGCCCATCTGGATGAGGAGCTGAACCAGATGGTAAGCGCTTGACAGCTCACTCTCTCTCATCAGAAGGAATCAGCTGATCACATTTTTCTTCTTGTCCATGGACAAATTATACTTTGAAAATGGAAAAAATATATATATCTTCCTTAGCTTTTAGCTCATTACTTCTCTTGGCAGGGACCCAAACAGTGTCCCTTCATGTTTATAAATTTCAATATTTTGGAGGAAACAACAGTCATTCTCTAGTTCTCTTATGTACTTTGAAAAAGTGCCATTTGTTCTGTAGAAGTGGAATGTCTGTTTTCCCTTTTTTTTCTGACTTAAGTTATACATATTGAGAATCCCTCCCTACCAAACAAATCTCTCTCTCTCTCTCTCTCTCTCTCTCTCTCTCTCTCTCTCTCTCTCTCTCTCTCTCTCTCCTATTTAAAATACACATAGTGCTAAAGAAACCGAAAGCAGTGATGGGGCTGAAGCTACAGCATGCCTGGTTCTGGCACAGACGCCTGCAGAGATGTCCACAAGAGGCCACAGAGACCTACAGGAAGGCTACCATAGCTTGGATTCTACCTGAAATAAGTAGCAGGGATGGGATTCTCCCTCCTTGTAAAAGGAGGCTGAAAAATGTAGTTGAGTGAGCAAAGAAATCAGATACAGCGGGGCAGTCAGGAACCACCTCTTGATCCCCACGTGGTTTTTTGGAACACATCTCTGAGAGCCAGTGTGTCTCAGTGGGAGCTAATGGGATGCTAATCAAACAACAGAAGACTGAGTCTAGACTGGGGACCCTATGAGTTCAGGTGGAAGTCACTGCAAAGCTGTTAAGGATGAAAGAACCAAGAGGAGAGAACAAAACCAAGGAAAATAAAGCCAAACAAACAAACAAACACTTCCCACTCCAGATGAGAGTACAATCTAAAATTTCAGGACATACAAGAAAAAGACATCCTAAGAAAAGCCACTAACCAACTGAGAGATAAATGTACTCTATCTGAGATGAAAATAAGTAAAACAACCTGAAAATGACATTACCACAAATACAACTGAGATCATCAGAGAGATAAAGGAAACCCCAAACCTATAATAACAGAATGAGAAATGCTGAAACAAAAACAGTCAGAAATAAACACAATATTGGATATGAAACAAATGAGTTAGAAATCCTG